GCATCGTGGGGTACAGACCAGGCGGGCGTGGGCCTGCGCGTTTGCCAGCGGCTTCCACTGCCAAGCCCGTCTCTCTTTGTGGCCCATGTGACTGGCGCTTCCCACCACCGGTGGCTGCGACCGTCGCCGACGCCTTCAATTCTTCCGCCAATGCGTCGTGGCTCGAGCTCCATCTTGACGAACTTGACCCGAATTGCGTTTCTGACCGTTCAGACTTGATGCCAGCCGCTAGACATGCGGATAAAATCTGAGCTGAATGTAACAGTCAATTCTCGCGTCTCTGTTTCTCCTGTGGTCTGGTACCACCTTTTCTTACTTTCACTTGCTGGCGGAATTCGCTTTCTAGATACTCGAGCCAACGCTCTGCTATGGCAGCTCACGCTGTTTGCCTTGTTTTAGCCGAGCTCGTACTTGGAGACATTGCACCCCTTGCACCTGGTCCCGGAGATATTTTTGCTGCTGGCTCAGATTGTACTCTTAAATGGAGCGTAGACACAAGTGGCACCTGGAAGAATGTCACTATTGGTACGTTGTACCGCTTTGCGTTTTATAAACTCGACTATTTCATGCTCGGTGCAGATTTAATGTCTGGTTCCGACAATAACATGTCATTGGTAACTCGCGTCGCGTTTGACCTGGACGGAACCGATCCCAGCCTCTCGCCGTATATTTGGACGTGTCCTGAAGTGGATCCATACTCCGACATATATTTCTACCAAGTAACCTCTTTCGTTCGGATACTGTTTTGTTTAATACTGACGAGGAACTCAGTTCACTAACGGCGACGATCGCGCGGCTTCCAGCTGGACTACTCGATTCACGGTTCTTATCTCTTCCAGCTTCGTCAAGAATTTATGAATTGCTAATTGATGATAGATCGCATCTCCTTCCAACACGAGCGCCCCTCCCCAGTATGCTCAACAGCCGAATGGTGATCCGATACCATGGGGAAACGGAATACTGGTCTATTCTAACTCGAGCGGACCATCCTCCAAGTTCTCCTCTGACAATCCAACGTCTGATGAAAATGGTGCTTGTAATCCAGACGATGATACCTCTGCGCAAGATGACTCAGGAGAGTCGAAGAGTTCTTCGACGGTTGTCCATGGGAGATCCACCACCGTTGTCAGAAGCGAAGGGTCACAGGACAATAACTATGGGAATGTCAAGGATACTCCCGATACGAGTTCGGACACTCCCAAGTCGTCGCATCATCACGCCACCGGCGAGCACGAGCGAACGCACAGCATGGATAGTACTGTGGGCCCTGACAGAAAGCCTAGTTTGACTCACGCCGAGAAGGTCCAGGCATCGAACACTGCCACCCCCAGCACGACGGACGCAAATGATGCTAATGTGACCGGTGCCGCGGATTCACCCGGCAGCGACGATTCTGGCACAGGTGGTAGCGACGGCTCTGATTCTAAATACTCAAACTCGAGCGGCGATGGCTCTGGCGATGATTCTAGTACAAGTTCCGCGGACTCAGGTTCTGACAACGATAACGGCTCTAGCAGTGATGGCTCTGGCGATGACGACTCGGGCAATGGGGACTCTAGCGATGACGACAATGGGTCGACCATGACGAGTATCTTCATGACGTCTTCCCGCAATGAGAAGCCAGCGACGACCCACTCTGTCAGCCGTACCAAGAGCGAGCATGCCACTCGGCGGACTCTCGCACCAACCGCCAACCTCCCTGCAAAAGAGGCTAAAGCAGCTCAACCAGCTTGGACGGGATCATCCTCCAACACTGCTATGGCATCCAGCAATACCTCGAGATCAGAGTTCAACGGGACGAATGGTGCAAACTTGGCAAGTGCTGACGCTCCTAGGATCCGCAGTTCTCTGGGTCCTACCTGGGTGTATGCGCTCTTCGCCATAGTCTGGGTACCGATACTGTAGTAGCACACAGCCCTGGTACGATCTACAGTATTGAATACATTTCCTAATATTGCATAAAGCTGAGTGTGCGCGGATCTGTGACGATGTGAACCTGCTTACACGACAAAATAATTATAATTTAGCTAAATGTACAGATCCGGTACAGATGATAAACGTGTTAGATCATGCTATCCCGGAAGAAGATTGCACAGCCGAGGGTGGTTCAGGATTATCCAGAGCTTGCATGTCGCGAAGCGTTAGCATGACAGGGGCGTGGTCACTGTGTGCACGTTCCTTGCTATCTTCCAAGTATCTCGTCTCCACGACCCGGCTCAGCAGTGACCGTTCAACAAGGGCATAGTCTACCCTGGCACAATCGGCGCCTTGTGGCTTGCCTTTTGCAAACCAGCTGAACGCAGGCTGGGTCCCGTGCAGTATGCGGTATACATCCACAAGGTCGAGACTCGGTATGAACCCCTCCTGAAACTCCTTGCGCGCTAGGGAGTGTGGGTATTCCGTGCGCAGCCGGGGAACGCAGTCTCGCTTAGTGAGCGAGATGTTAAAGTCGCCGATGAGCACCAGGCGCAAGCCTCGGGCCTGCATTGCACGACATTCCTCGAGGAGGAGCTGGTTAAACTCGCGCTTGCGCTCGTTGCGAGTCTTGGGAGGAACCTTGCCCAGAGGATCCCGCCACATGAATTCGCTCCCATTCAACGCATAGACGTTGATGAGGGCCCAGCCGTTCTTCATCTCGAGGATGAGGACGCGCCCTTCGGCGTCCCAGTCCACCTCACGGGCAACTGCAACGAGATCTGGGCGTCGAGTGTAAGTGACGACGCCAAAATGACGCTGGCCACGCGTAGCTCGGCTTAGGGAGGAGTACATGGTGTACTTTGGCTCTGCGAGGTTCCAGGTTGGAGCCGCTTTGAGGCCAGATATCCATTGCTTATCTGTCTGGCGAGCACGGACTTCCTGGAGACAGACAAAGTCGGGGAAGTTGTTGCGGGAGAGGAGATCGGAGAGAAGCGAGAGGTTGGTGCCTGGAGGGATGAGGGAGGGACCGGCCTTGCGAGGAGAGAGGGTGAGGAAGGGTACGGGAGTGTCGACATTCCACGAGAGGACGGCGAGGGTTGTGGAGGGCTCTGCGGGAGGGAGGGTGCGGGGCTTCTTGGGGACGGATTCGTCTGGGTCGTCTGGCCTGGGACGTTTGGCCATGGTGCAGGAGAGATAGGAGGATAAGACGCGAGCGTGGACTTGCGAGGCACGGACGCACTAACCCAAGTGGGTGCACACTATCCTGACGTCATCCCAGCATACAAATCGCTTTCAAGTCTGTACAAAACGACTACAGGGCACGTAAGTTAAAAGCACCATCATAAACAATTACTATGCGCAAAGCATCTATAGTCTACAAATGCGTCACCCACACCTACGGTAGATCTTCCCTCGACATCCCATGCCTCTTGTCTCCTCCAATCATCGGGCTGCTACGGATCTGGTTCACCAACGATTCCCAATAACTCCAGTCCGATCCATCCAGTCCAGGTAGTGGCTCGTTCCCTCCCGCCGGTGGCGTCGTGGGCAACCATCCCGACAGGTCGCTCAGCCCAGGTGTGCCCCACGACAACCGACCCGTCAGGCCCATCGAGTCGTCCGTCGGCCCACCGCTGAAGATATCGCACCACTGGTCCAGCAGCGTCTGCGCCGTCGATTCCGAATCGTCCACAGGTGGGCTTCCCGTCCCAGGCGTAGAACCCGCATCAAATTGTTGTAGGTGCGACGGGATCGCCGGCTGGTGAGGTGCGTGGTGTACATACGCAGCACCCGAGCCTGATGACATCAGGACAGATGGGATTTCTGACAGTGTGAGTCCAACCGTAGCAGGGATATCTGCTTCCCGCTTTCCTGCAACGCTTCCAGACGAGGGCGACGTCTCATGAAGGTTGATCGTCAGGTTCGGCTTCTTGAAAGTCTTCTCGTGAGCCGGATCCGCCATTTGTCTCGAACGGTCCTGCAGGAACTGAATGATGTTGACTTCCCTCCGCGTCGTCTCGTCCACGTCCTTGTGATCATGACTACTGAGGAATGATGCAAGTACGGCGTGCATCAACTCTGCGTCTTTACCCTTCGGATGCAAGACGAGATAGATACCAGCGATCATCGCAGACTGAAACTCCCGGTATGCGCTTGCAACTGGATCTCTGACCTCCTTCGTCGTCGTCGCCAACCAAGCTCGTCGGATGCGGTAATCAGTAAGAGCGGCTTCAAAGCACGCCTGGCGCGAGCGTTGATATCGATCAGTCCCTAATCGACGCAGAAGATACGGGCGGTTCAGGGTGATTCTAACAAAGAAAATCTCAGTGACGAGGAGGAAGCGGTGGACAGGGATGTAAGGATGTGACTGATCAAGGGATGTGTCAGGATCTACGGCATAGTGGGGGGGAAGCGACTGCATGAATTTCACAAGCTCATCATCAAGTGCAAGCACCTCCGAGTAGTGGCTTGTCGATCGTACTTGTTGGAAGTGATGGGATACTCGGCCCATGATGCCGGCGAGAGTATGTCGAAGGATCATGAATGTACTGGGGGTGGGGGTAGTAAGCGGAAGAGGCTTGCGCAGATCCGCAGTGACAAAGTCATCCACGTTGCATGGTGGCAAGGTTGAGGTATAGACGTCCTGAATAGCGACTGGTCTCCCCAAGACCAGTGCAATTGACCGGTCTGCATGATACAAGTGCGACCTTCCAAATAGCATAAGCAACAATAGGATGGAAAGTCAGACGCAGTAGCTGACCATATACGCCTTCGCTTTTCTATCTGGACGAGATCCATACCCTGCAGTCCATCTATAAGCAATTGTGGATAACTCGAATTGCATATATCCTTACCATCGTAGAACCATCGCGATGCATTCCCAGTGCTTGAGCGGTCCGGACGGCGGCGCCCAACTGGTTCCAGGATTCAGTCATCCTGCGATCGAGGACAAGGAAGCGGGCGCTCTGCGCGCCAATGAGACTCCAGTGTTCATCCTACCCCCGATGATGTACTCACCAGCATCCGAGTCATAACCATCTCAAAGCAGTCCGGTGCAATCGCGGCTGCAACAATTAACGATCTCCGCGCTGCAGAATTTTTTACTGAGTGGACATCTTCATACGCAGCTCCATGACACTTACAGGACCAATAATATCGCGAAGATGTCACCTTGCGCGTATGCTCGTCTCCACCAATGTGTTCAGGAGCTAATCGCACGGCAATGGCAAGTACTACGAATAGTAATGGTAAAAACCGTATATTATTCGGATTGAGCATCATTCCCTCCGCATAGATCGCGGCGTAGGACGTGCGGAAGTCCCGTTCTGATATGGGGTATCGTGTCCAATTTCTACAACCATGATTAAGATGATGAGTTACGGGAGTATATGTCACCCACATCGCTAGGAAGTATTGATCTACTAGCCGATTGGAAAAATGACGGGGGGGAAGCTGGTTGACAAGCTCGGGGACTTTCGTAGGCGAGAAACCACAATCGGAAATGAGTCTCTTCAATTTGTCCGCAGCATTAGGTTCTTTGGATTCAGGGTGGAGAATATCTGCGGGGACCTGATGAGCCGAGGGTGAATCCCCGGCAGAGAGTTTATCCACATGCTGTAGCTGAGCGGGAATCAGCAATATGACGCCGCGAGAAGCGAAATGAACACACTTGCTCCAAGACGACTGGAGCTGCAACGCTTCCTGAAGCGCTATTGCCGAACCATCTTCCGCTCTCAAACATCCCTCCGCAGGGATCCTCGTCTTCAGCCTGAGACCTGTTCCCGTCATCTGCACTGGGGGAAGGAGAGCGTCGTCTGTCACCAATGACCTCTGGGGAACCAGATGAATGGTCTTGATGCCAGTAATGTGGCAACGCATTTTCGACGATGTGCTCAAGCCGTGCTAACCGGACATGGATGTCTTGATCGGTCTTGCCCGGGGTGTACGCCTTGCATAGCTCGGGTACTTTGCGAGCTATACACTATTGTGTATCTGTCAGGTCAGCCGTACCGCAAGGGCATGCGACCTAGATACTCACATGGGAGCACGGAATTTGTCTATCGCACTAAAGTCAAGCTTATAAATAATGACTGCGTCGGATGAACAATATACAGGACCTACCTTTTGTTTACGACGATGGCATTCTCCACATGAATAACTGGAGACGGTTAGAAGTCAGTAGGTGAAAGCGAATTTTTAGCGTACCTGACTCTAGTTCGAGGCTTTTTGCTCAATCTAGTATCCTCCTCTTCCGACTTTCTTCTGATACCGTTGGAGGGACCAGGGGTACCTTCCGGCGTGGAATTGGATGTGTGTTTAACCATGGCTAGATTCATGCAAACATGAGGGGAGGAGGAGTTGAGTCAAAACAGCAGGCGCTCTAAGCGGGACTCGGACGAGAGCTAGACTCTAGAAGACAAAACTGGGGGCGAGAGGCTTGTATGGGAATCCGGATCGGGGCGTCAACGGCTCCGGGTTTTACCGGCGCTATCGCGACAGTCACATGCCAAGACTGACTGAAGCCTGTTCCCAACTGACTCAGGCGTTCCACACGCGTTCGACGACCTTACACTACACCCAATTCACCGCATCAGCCACTCTGGTCATCCGCTTTCTTGTCGCGATGGAAGAACCCCCATGGAAAAGGCTCAGGCTGTCCCTCGAGAGACCTTACAAAGATGATGCCGGCCAGCCCATCCCAGCCCTGCTCGATATTACCCCAGATGGACAGTACGTCCACGAGCCGTATGTCATCCACCCTTCCTGCCACAGGTCATACGCTGATTGTGTTTAGAAAGGAAGACGCCGCTGCCCAGGTAGGAGAGAATCTTCGCAGGATATTTCTCGAGCGTGGTCTCGACTTCTTCGACAAGAGGAAGCATGAGCGCGACATGATCATGGAGCCGGATGTCCATGTTGAGGATGAAGGCGAAGGGAACTTTCACGAGAAGGAAGAGCCCGAAGGTCTCAAGCAGCCAATGACTCCAGAGGAGTTGTTCAAGATGCGCATGGAGATATTGCCACAGCTCCAGTAAGTGTATTGTCAAACGTGCATTTGGCCCGTTTCATTTATGTTGGGCAGCATTGCATTTGGTGAGATGTCACAAGCGCGTGATCTACTTTCCCTCTTACTCGCGGCGACGATGCCGCCTGAGGCGGCACCTAGTTTAGCACTTGATGCACAACCTAGCTCACAGCCACAGCAGTCGACGTTGACTGCCACAGTTGTTACCAAGCCACCCCCAATATCTTCTGTGCGAGCTTTTAATGCGCAGCTTGTCGTGGGAGGAAAAGACCGGGCACTTAGACAAGCAGCGGATCTCTTCAAGTTTGCCGCAGAGAAGATGGAGTCTGGCCGCTTGAGGAGCGAGACGTATTGGGTCGATGCACTCCGAATCCGAAGAGGAAACTGGGGTCTTGTCCCGGCACCACTGCCACTTGGCTCTGCAACTGGCAAGGGCGCCGACAAGACTTCCAAGGATTTCCTCATTTCATTCGGCATGGAAGAATGTGCGTAAGGTTTAACATACCGCTAATCGAGCTGACTCTTTGCAGCTCCGCCGCTTTTCAGACGAAGAGCTATCGCTCGCATCCCCACGTTGGGAATTGACGGAAATGCTCTCGAGTTCCCTTTAAGGCAGCGCACTCGGCTGCATGTGTCAGTCATCACGACGGGCGCATCTGGGTCTCGTCACTCTGTTCGGAATGTCATCAAAATCATCGACAATACGTCTCTAGAAGGCTCACTACGTGCCGCCCAGGCGGAAGTTGTTGAGCAAGAGATATTTTCAGCTCTAATCAAGGAAGCTAGCACCCTCCCAACTGCATCCGCTCGTGTTTCAGAAAGGCTGATTGTAATTGAAGCGGACCAAGGGACGGACTTGCAGTTCGAACTTGTACGGCCCATTTAGAAAGTATATTGCGATTTTCTAATATGGATTCAGATTGACGAGGGCGCTGTGCTGCCGTCACCTTTCCCAGGTAATGGATCTGATGTATGCGATCTGATATTCGCGGCGCTGCATGTCCTATTGCTCCGAGCTCACGCACTTGTGAAAGCGGAACGCTTGAGGCGTATTGGAAGTCGGACGTCAGCCCCACTCGGTATAATTCAGCCACCTCCAATATTGCAGCCCGTCATCGACATGATGCAATACAGGGCATTTTGCGATCGAGTGTATTCGGAGATCAACAGGAAAGTGCAGGCGTTGAGGCAGGCAGGAGTACCTGCAAGTCTTCAGTTTGAAGCTGTCGGTGGCAGCGGAGAGGAATTTATCGCACACTTGCGGGAAAACAGGGCCAGGCCAATAGGTGGGCAAGCCCTAATCCGTATTGACAACCGGTATGCTGCAGTGCACTGTACATGGTTTGTAGATGTTCACAACAAGAATCGTATAGACATTCCCTTCGGTTCACGTTCCTCTCACCGTCCATGCTCATCGCGCATCTTCCCCAAGCCACCATGGGTATCGCTTCAATACCGCAACTTTCCCAACTTCTCGGTGATGAGATGGGCGCGTGTCTCCTCAAGGGAATATGCGATATTGGCACAGAACGCTGTGGTTCTGTGAACGGTACATGGTTCGTCGACACACTCACTGGGCGGGGCGTTGGGCGGTGGGAAGGCTGCGTTCTGTGAGTGCCTGTGGGACCTATAGATCGACCTATGATGTGTTCATTTATCCCTCTAGGAATTTCCGTGTGACCTTCGCAGAAGGATCTTCATTTGTTTGTACTGCATCGAGACTCAACAACGCTAATGAGCGGGCTGCGATGGTAACCGAACAATATGGGGTCCAAGACCAGACTGGGGTGTCACTTTTTGACTGGACAGCGAAGGTGATTGAGGCAGCTCTATCGAGACCTCCAACTACGCATGGGAGTAAGTTGTCTATCCTTACAATGTCACATAGATGACTAAATCAATACCTCAGGGTAGCAGGGTGACATAACTCATCGGTTTGGTGTGATTTTGTATATAAGAATACTATGTTGTAAGATACTTTCACTTGCTATTGGCAGTGGACATGTAATTCACCTGTGATAATACACTTGATGACGCTCAGTTTTCAGCAGTTCCAAACTTATAGATGGCATAACATGGCATAAAATAGCCTGATTTTGGATAGCCTATGTGGTGCTGCTATACATGACATGCATGTGACGAGTAATAGGGAAAGCGTCTACTCCTCGTCGTCCTCATCATCCTCTTCTGCCTCTGCATCTCCGCCTGCCTGGAAGGCCTCGATCTTAGCCTGGATCCTCTCCCTGCGCTGGGCGAGCGTCAACTTGACGGACATGTGCTTCTTGGTCTCCGATTTCCAGTCAGTTGTCTTCTCGGTAGGCTTGAATGTAGGATCTTCACGAATGGCAGCGTATGCGTTCGTGAAGATCTCCTCAATATCTTCCGAGCCGATGCCGTCTGCGAGGTATGTGGCGAACTGCTTCTTGAAGCTAAAACATTTGCTCGTCATTTGAACTTCATAAGATCGAGAGGATGCATGCGTACCGTTCGTCATCCTCCTCCTCCAAAGACTCCATGTACTCCGCGACGTGTCCACCAAAGATGTACTTCTTGAGTACCTCAGCGTCCAACTCCTTGGACTCAGGGTCGTAGCCGGGGAAACGCTTCTCGTTGTGGGGAATGTAGATGCCACCGTCACTTGCTCCCTTGAGAGCACCAAACACCCGAGAACCCGTCGACGTGCGCTTTAGACCGACATCGAGATAGCATTTGAACGGACGAGGCGCATCTTCTTCGTCAATAGACTCAGTCATAGTAATCGTGCCGTCGGGCTCTGCAACACCCTCATACTTGTCGGCAAGGCCAAGCTTGGTCAATGCACGACGTGCGCATAACAAACCAGTAGCATATGCTATAGACATCGTGTTGGCCTGATTGTCCACGCTTGGGACATACGATTACGCACCGGCTGTCCAGTTCGTGAGACCATGGTTAATGCCGTATCGCGGGAGCTCTCGCGACCGCGCGGCACACAGAACGAAATCACCTTGCAGACGTGCGTATACGATCTGCACAATGACCTCCTTGTTTGTGAAACGAACGACGAGGCGGTACTTTGGCGCGTTGCTATTCCGTAGTCAATGAACTACACGTTAAGGGAGGTGACGGAGGCACTCACTATTTGTTCTTCGCCTGGGTGACGAGCCTTTTGCGGGCGTAGTCTAAACATCTTGTCAGAATGAACACTATTACTCATACCAAAAAACACGTACAGTCAGTCTTTCCTTCTCTCCGGCGACGATACTTCACTTGGAACCGTGAAAAGTAGGCATCAGACTTGACTTTCTTGACGAATGGCATCTAAAGGATAGTGTATCAGTCGCCTGAATACATCCTATATGGGCGGTGTCCATCCATCATGTTCTGCTGCAATTTGACATGATTCGACAGCACAGATAGATACCCAGGACACTCGAGGCAATTAAGTCAAGAAATACTGACCTTGAGGGGGGTGTGAACGGCGTTGACGGCGGCGGTATACACAATCCGCACATTGAGAGGATTCCAGGAAGTCGGCTTACATAAGCAGTAGTACCAAACCCGGCAACTCGTATCGTAGACAAGCGCATACGCACTTTCCTTCTCTCTCACCGCCACCATCTAGCCTCGCTTCGTCGTCTTACCTCCATTGCTCACTTCAAGATTCCGAAACATGGATTCATACGCTTCGCAGAATTACTATTATCAACAGCAGCAGCAGCAGCAGCAGCAGCAAGCTGCCGATGTCAACCCGTATCATCAACCTTACCAAGGACCAATGTACCCGATTCCCGGATCTTCCTCATCGGCCCACAGTGCGCCTGTTCCCGCCAATGCGTATGAATATGATGTCGGAATCTTGGCTCAGCAGAGTGTCTATGTTCCTGGCGCCATGATTGACAAGCGCGGAGGAGCAGGTGGCAAGCTCGCTAAGGGTGGCAAACGAACGACGGTGTTGCGCAAGGGTGCGGGCAAGGTCTGGGAAGATCAGACTTTACTGGAGTGGAATCCTTGTAAGTCTTTCTTACTCTTCAGAATACTTTTGTGTTGTATTGACATTCTCATGGGCAGCCTGGTTCAGACTTTTTGTTGGTGATCTGAGTAATGATGTATCCGATGACGTCCTGTCAAATGCATTCAACAAGTATACGTCTTTCCAGAAAGCTAGAGTCATTCGGGATCGCCTTAGCGCAAAAGTGAGTCATGCGTGAAAGTCAATAATCAATCACTAAATTCCGTACAGGCTAAGTACGGATTTGTGGCATTTTCCGACCCTGAGGACTTCTTGAGAGCATGGAAAGAAATGGATGGTACGGGAATGCTACCTTTGAAACTAGCACTATCTAACAGCCTCGCTGCGCTAGGCAAGTACGTTGGTAATAGGCCTGTAAAACTGAAGAAGGCCGACAACATGGTCAATCCTGTGGAAATCGGCCACCGCAAAGCTAGACAGCTGGAGAAGGAGCTCAAGAAGAGCAGGCATAAGCCTTACTGAACCAATGCACTGCAAATGATTGTAGAATGAGAGTGGAGTATGTTGCTTCGCCGCTGGGATGTGTTACAGACTAACAGCCCTTGCTATTATGCATATACTTGTTTCCCTGCCGAAGGTATTCAGAACTGGACGGTTAGTGTATGCATGCTGTAGATCGATAATGGTTCATTTTTATTCAATTGCAGATACATCATGGCAGTCTTTCGCTTGGGTTAAGTACGTGCTTGGGTTTCGCAATTTGATGGTAAGCGCCCCGTTCAAATACTTAGGATCAACCACGGGTCTTGCTTGTCCAACATCTCCGTTATGCGCTATATATTCGATGAGGTGTACCGCTTATCATCAACCGGCTCGAGTGTGAGTCCATTAACTATCACAGGCCGCAATAGCTCGTATCACTTGCTATCGCGTGAGTTACATGGTTATTGGTGTGACCGCCCATGACAGTGTGCATCATTGTGCAGTCGCATTAAACGTAGAAGACACGTCTATTACCGTCTACTTGAACTCGACAACTGTCTTAGTATACCTTGTACGCCCACTCCGACGACATCAACAAAGCCCTCCGCCATTGTACCTAAGGCGCTCACGCCTTTCGCAAGATTTTCGACACCACTCACTGCCACACTTCGGCTAGCACCTTGTGAATCCTGTCGGTGGTTGCGAGTGCTTCCCGCAGTCATCATAATTGCCGCCTTGATAGTGTCCAATTCATTCAGGACCTCGACACCGACAGAGCGTGCCCATACGATGGGTTCTGCGGTGGAGGAGTACAACTTGTGGAGCTTGTCTACAGCAGACATCACTTTGTGGTTCTCCAAATAACGAGCACGGGCGTATGGAAAGAGTGCTGTGTGTGAGCCTTTCAAGTGTAATGATTAGCAAGGTTCCTCAATCCTTGTTTCCATGAGTTGTTGCACTGACCTACATCTCCACCATGAATGACTGCTGTCTCAATGCAATTCACGAGGGCTTCTACATCTCCTAGACCCATGTTAAGCCCTTGGCCGGCCAGTGGATGGACAGTGTGTGCCGCATCTCCAACCAATACAGTCCGTGTACCTTGACCTTCGCCGATATATGTATCCGCGTGACTAAAACGCAATGGGAATGAAGCAGCTGTCCCTTGTTGAATTGAGGTTACAAATGGTGGGAGTGCTCCGGCATCCGAAGGCGGGACTCCCCCTAGTACTGCTCGCATAGTCATTGAAGAGTATGCAGAGTGCGGATTTACCCCGTGTGAACGCTCACGAAAACTGATCTCCGAGTACAAGTCTTCGGGTGTCAGCGTAACGCCTGACGTATGGTTATCGAGAAATCTTTCATAGATGTATCTCAATGAGATATTAGGGAGACGGAAGGCAGCATTGACCATGGTCGCCAGTGTAGAGGGATCTGCTTCCAAAAGTGTCTTGGCCAAATGAGGTTTCGTAGACCAAACTAGTGACGAAGTGGTGGGAGAGAGGGGAAGAAACGCGATAGGGCCGGTTGGTAGGAAACGCTGGTAGGCGATGGTATTTGGAGGCTCAAGCATTGTCCGAGGATGGTGGTTCAATGTAGCTACAATAGCCTGCGCGTCGTATGCCCAACCGTAGGATTGGATGCCTGCATATGAGCGTACAGGAGAATTGAAACCATCGGCACCAACCTGTGTAGCTGTTGCAAATATGCCAAATGCAAGAATCAGAAATGGTAAAATACCAGTAATCTGGCGCGTATAGCCCGTCCGTCAGACAGATAGACCAGAGGCCACCTTCCTCCGTGCTCTCGCTCGTCTTGCTGGATAGATTGAACTCGGACTTTGTCGACTAGTTCGATGGACGGTCTATTTGCGAGACTATGGAGAAGAGCGCGCTGAAGGTTGAGATTTTCTGTAAGGCGGGCCATCTCTCCAGGAGCATCTTTACCAGCTACACTTATATCAGATGCTGAGAATGTGATGCGTGCATCAGAGAGCCCATCCCAGACCTATGTCCAGGCAATAATCAGCCGACAACCTGGAATCGGACATTTGGGCTTACTTGCATCTCTCCAATGGGCATAGTCCGTGATTCATCGACGTGAGACCATGCCCCGGTATCTGTGGGCTCTTGTCATAAAAACGGAGGATAATATGGAAAGTTGAGTATGCTCACCACTCAGGAAGGTTCGCGATGCATTCGTTATTGAACTTACCCGGTTTGAGAAAGCACTGGATAAAGGATTCCAGTATCTAATTTTTGATAGGTCACCGGCTTCTATGAGGGTGACTTTGAGTCGCTCCGCAATTGGCCTGGCTGCACCTAGCTCCGTCATGAGAAGCGCGACAACTGTAGTAATACAGGGCGCACCAAGAGCATTGGCTAGTGCAAGACCTGCTGGTCCACCACCCACAATCACCACATCACTATCCTCATACGCTGTAGCGGAGAACGCTCGCTTGCTCGTTTGCCTCGCATGTCTCAGGGAGAACGCGAATGGTTTGGACTTCAAGCAACGCGAGATTGGCATGAGAAATCTACTACCTACGACAAGAGAAGATTTGGGACTATTCGCACGACCAATTCGTCAGTCTGTGCAAAAGAGATCAATAGTCTAGATTGCAGTGACGGGATAGTAGCGGTTACCGGTTACTAGTAACTTGAAGTATGAGACTATGTATGAGTCGAGCGCGCGACGCGTCGCGATTGTCACGAGACGCCGGGTCAAGTTCTCGGAGTCGTTCCCTTCCTTAGTTTGAGCTCAGAGGCTTTACATTCGCTTTTCCTGTCTATACTAAGTCCTGTGGATTTCCGTAATGGATATCGACAAGCTTTTCAAGGCGAGCCGTGTTTCTTAGTATTCGTGCATGCCAGTGTAATACTATCATCCTTAGGTCCCTAAGCTGCCCGTGGGTGGAAACAAGAGACGGATGCCAGACAATCCCACACCCGACATGCTCAAAAGGATGAGGATGGACGTAGAAGTTCCAGCAGTTCCAAGCGACACTGCACCTACTGTTCCCCCAACTAGGGGAAAGTCGCGTGCAACTACCGTCCAAGACGAGGAGGGGGAAGAGGCCGAAGAGATGGCTGGCGACTTCGCGCCAGGAGGCGATGCCGATTACTTTGCGGAGGAAGATGACGAGGGCCGCTTCTTTGGTGGCGGTTTGACGAAAGAGCAGAAAGACATTCTCAACATATTCGACAAAGATGGAGGAGAGGAAGCACGGGAAGACGTGTGTTATACCTAAGTTCGTTGCCTCTGACCCGTAAGCTGATTGTGGTTGGCTAGCTTGAGGAGTTGGCGCTGCCTGGTGTGCGTCGGCTGCTACTGCGGTTCGAACGAGCGGCGAATAAAAACCAAGATCAGCGGTCAAAGTACCCAGATGATCCCACAAAGTAGGTGACATAGTGGATACACTCCATTTCAAACTGACTTGAGGTCCCAGATTCATCGATTCTGAGGCGGATCTAGACGCCGCAATTAAAGCCCTCCTACCCCTTGCTCAAGTTCCCCATATTGCCTATTCAGAGCTAGTCAAATCCGGTGCACTTGCGCGTCTTGTGGGACTGTTGAGTCATGAGAATGCTGACATTGCAATTGACATTGTCGAAATTGTGCACGAACTGACAGATGAAGAAGTTGGGAATGAGCTAGAGGAAGATGAGGAGGCAGAAGGGACTAGGGAAGAGGCCCTGAAGATGCTCATTGAGGGCCTGGTAGGTCTGTCTGTTATACTGCTGCCACATCATTGGCACTGACAATCCTACTAATGTTACAAATGTACAGATGGAGAATTCGGTGTCCGAGCTCCTCGTGGACAATCTCATTCGTCTAAATGAGGACGAAGAGTCCGACAGACAAGGCGTATTCCACATCCTTGGTATGCTCTTCGACCTTTGGTAAATGACTTCACCCATATTCTTGCAGGTATATTCGAGAACATTCTCGGATTCAACGTTGATTTTGCGCCACAACTTGTCGCAAAGACGAACATTCTCAAATGGCTACTCGATAGGATACAATTAAAGGGACACAACGAGAATCGCGGATATGCAGCAGAATTGTTGTCAATCTTACTACAGACCGATCGAACAAATCGTTTAGAGTTTGGGAAAAGAGATGGCGTAGAGGTCATTTTGAAAGTCTTGTCGGTGAGCCACTAAGCGCCTTATTAAATGTGTCTCGTCTTCAAGGTCACGCATAGCACTTCCGACGAAAAGATCCCGTCGACCCGGATGAGACCGAGTTCATGGAGAACGTCTTTGACTCATTATGTTCGGCACTAGCTGAAGCGGAAATCAAAAAGCTCTTCTTGGATAGTGAGGGTGTAGATTTGATGGTGATCATGATGAAGTTGGTCGTCCCTCTTCGCCCACTGTATGATGTGGAACTCATAATTTTCGGCAGAGAAAAAATGCAATCGCGATCACGATCCATCAAAGTTCTAGATTATGCAATGTCAGGATCTGCAGGCACTGCAACTTGTGAGGTTTTCGTCGAGGCATTAGGACTCAAGACACTGTTTTCTGCTTTCATGGGCAAGGTTAGTGCGTTATTTCCAGGACATGACTGAGCTCGCACCCATACGCTCTATCGTAGATCTCGAAAAAAAAGGCTCATACATCAACCCCCGCATCGGAGGATACGTCGCATGCGCTAGGTATCGTCGCGTCGCTCCTGTCCAACCTTCCGTCGGACTCGCCTGCGAGAGTAAGGCTATTAGCGAAATTTGTAGAGAATAGCTATGAGAAAACGGAGAAGTTGCTTGAGATCAGATATTCTGCGCAAGGTCGCTTGAAGACAGTCGAAAAAGCAATCGAAACAGAGAAGAAGGTGCGTGTGTGAAGATGTGCAGCTCTCCAGGGTTCCAACTGCCTACAGGAATTGCTTGATGACAACCAAGAGCTTGGCCCTGAACAAGAAGACTTGTGGTACTTACAACGATTAAACGGAGGATTATTCACATTTCAGACTGTGGACTATATTCTTGCATGGGTCGTCATGGAAGACGATGGAGTGTGTTTCTGTCTTCACGTATTGTGCACACATCTCTGCTAACCCAGGCACTCATAGATTCGAACGCATGTACAAAATATGCTGGGCAGGAGAAATCGATCATTACAAGACATTGTTAACACGCTCCAAACCTACCATGACAACATTGATGAGGAACCGAGTGGGCAAGACGATGGTTCCCTATCACGGAGAGAAATCTTGCGAAACTTAATTGCTTTCATGAAGGGATGTTGATTAGCGGGATACCGTACACTACTTTACAATACTTTTGTATAAGATTTGCACGTGTGCTGCTCTTGGAAATCCGTATTGCACTATACAGGTTATATGCTATGCTACTACAAACAGGGCGGCAGACGAGAGGAGCATGTCCAGAGCCCCCTTCGTTCTCACAAGCTCTTGTTGGAAGCGTAGTTCCGCAGCTACCTTTTTGCGAAGCCTGGCGAATAGGGTATCGATAAGAGGAGATTGTCCAAGCACTGGCGTGTACATTTCTGAAGAAAACAATCTCGTTAAAACTACTCTCTTGCTAGTGAAGAGACACCACAAACCAATTACGACGCCAGCCATATCGCAAACCATCTCGCCAAAGCGCGGGTCCGCCACGTACTTCAAAAGGAGTCCAAGAATTGGCTCCAGTAATACATCGTCACGGCCAGCGAGTGCTGAATGCAAACCGTCACGGTGAATGAGTTCTTGGATCAGAGCGAATTTTGTAGTTGGCGGAACCTGCTTTATATGTATACCTGCAATTAATTGTGACAGCTGTAAGCAATTTCGCATGCACAAACCTTTCTCAGAACCGAGTCAAGTGCCGCGGAATACTTGAACCCCTTCAACATCTTGTCGTAGTCACGTAGTCGCTTCTTTCGTCTGCTCTCAACCTTGAGTTCGTCCGCATCGCCTATTGGTTTTGATTTTATCTTTTGACGTACACGGCCTTGTCCTATAGGAGGTATTGTGCCCCCAAGGTATGACTCATAATTGCTGGAACGAAGAGCAGAATTCAAGTCTGCGGCAGCCGGCTCTGAAGCCTTTGGCTGTCGACGGCGAACGGATAGCGTGCCATCCGACATGCCTGCTGCTATGTGGGTCTCATCCGGCTGTAAAAAGAATATCTATACCTGGAGAGCCCTATATATCCGAGGATGCAGACGTACCGAGATTGCGAGGCACAGAACCGGAGCTGGGTATCGCATTGTGTGTACGACTTTGTATGTGCTCACGTCGTACACCTTCACCATCTGGTCCAGCCCGCCAGTCAGGAGCCTACTTGCTTTGGTGTCAAAGACCATAGCGGTGATAGTCTTCTGGTGATTGGACAGAGCGCGCGTACAGCGACCGCCAGCCACTAGATCCCAGACACGTAGTATCGGTCCTGCAGATGATAATGCAATAGTTCCAGAGGGAAACATCAAAACCTGTTCCACGGGAGCAGTGTTATGACTTCCTCCTTCACCAGTGTCGCCTCCCATCAGCATTTCACATGCTCCCGTTCTCGAGTCATACAGCCGCACGGTAGTATCGTATGAGCCTGTCAGAATGAGGTGAGGGCTGGAGGTCGACACTTGCCCTGAGCGGACGTAATCGGTATGGTCAGTAAAAGTAGCGATACACGACTGAGAGGGAACATCCCAAAGCTTCACGGTGGTGTCGTCCGAGCATGAAAGCACCCGTGTTTGATCAAGGGAGGAGAATTTAGTGACATGCACGGGCTGCTTATGCGAGTCCAGCGTTCGAAGAATAGCGCGCGAGTTTATGTCAAAGATCTGCATAGGTCCGAATATCAGGCACTTGACTTCGACACATCGGACTGAAAACTGACCTGTATGAGGCCGGTATCGTCCCCTGCAATGACCAGTTTTCCGTCTCCACGTATGTTGCCGCTCCGGGCCACGTCTTTGAATCTCGAGATAGTCTTGGTAACCTTTTGGGTTCTCGGTGCGTAAATTTGCACTCGTGTAGCGGCAGTCACGGCATATCTGTGAGGCTTTGAAGGCGAGAAATGAACGGAAGTGATAGGTGCATATTCCTTGATGAAGACAGGATGCTTAAATAGCCGCCAGTACTTTGACTCTGCATTGTGTTTTGTGGACGACGGGCGTGGATGCCTCGCGACCACCACCGGCTGGTAGTCCATGGCCGCCTCGAGTGAGCGGGAGTCTAGTATAATATTCGATCGCTCCTAGAACTGGCACCGGCTATTTTCGAAGCGTGCACGTGATCGATAAAAGATCGATTGATTTGTTCCGAGCTTGATTTTTCTGTCCCATAAGTGACCTACAACTGTGTACCATACTCGTTCTGTCCCTGTCTGTAGCCATCGTTCTCTGTCTATCTGTCTCCCTAAAATTCCAAGATGTTGTTGTACTCAGATGTTCTCAGTGGCGATGAGATGTTTTCCGACGCCTTCCCTATGTATGTCACCTCTTGTTCTTCACTCGGCGACTTCACGCTCATTACCGGCTTGCCCTGTCTGCAGCAAGGAGGTCGATGACGTTGTGTTTGAAGTAGACTGCAGCTTGATCACAGTAAAGGCCGGGGCCGATGTTGACATTGGTACAGACGCACTAGATCTCATGCATTTGACGAGCTACTAACGTTTCATAGGTGCCAACCCCTCTGCGGAGGATCAGGATGACGCCTTGGAGGATGGTGCGACCCAGGTCAACAATGTTGTTTACTCTTTCCGTCTTCAATCGACGCAATTCGACAAGAAGACGTACCTAGCCTATCTCAAGGTTCGTTGAAATGTGTCTGTCGTCTTGTAGAGCGTGCTGATCGTAGTAATTTATCCCAGGGCTACATGAAAGTTGTCAAAACTGAGCTACAGAAAACCAAGCCTGAGCGTGTCGAGGCTTTCGAGAAGGGCGCGCAGGCTTTCGCTAAGAAACTTGTCGCAAACTTCAAAGACTACGAATTTGTATGTATATTAAGACTAATCGAGCCCTAGACTTAATTGAGAGTTGCACAGTACACTGGCGAATCAATGAACCCTGAAGGCATGGTTGCACTCCTTAACTACCGGGAGGACGGCATCACTCGTATGTCTTGTCTTAACCTGAAGCAGAGTATTATTCTGACTGGTTGACACATCGTGCAGCCTACTTCACCTTCTGGAAAGATGGTCTCAAGGAAGTGAAGCTGTAAATCTTCTCGCCAACTCCCTCACATCCCTACACACTGGTTTTCTCCTCTTGAATCTCTCTGGATTGTCGGTTGATCTTACGTCCGTTGTGCAAAACATGAATCAATCGTGTACCACAATTTTCGCCGCATCTGCTTATATCGATGTAGCAGCTTCGTGCACGATAATAGATGTAGCATTTTCAAGTACTATGATTCCAGGACAACTAGCAAGATTCGAGGACCTCCTCGGGAGGTTTAACTAAGTAGTACCCAAACACCCATGTAGATTCAGAGCTCGTCGTGAGGCTCATGTACGATTTCGGGCTGCTGTGAGTTATTTTTGAATGGAACCTTGGGATCGAGAGGATTCTTGGCGTTCTCCTCCACAAAGGCAACAAGGCTCTCAAGTGATCGATCGCCGTTGTAGTCAATGAAGTCGCGCGAACCAGCTTGCTTGAACTTGAGTGTGGGGAAGCCGGATATATGGAAAGGTAAGTTGGGTGGAAGGTCGTTCTCTTGCGCCTCCATCTTCGCACTATACTCTACGGTAAGCATGATATAACACAAGCATGAGCATAACGTCGATACTAACATGACTACACGGTCCTTCACGTCAGCGTAGCGGTCGCCAAGGGAGTCCCATGTTGGTTTGAGACGCTTGCAGTGACCACACCTAGAGTGTTTTCGTAAACGTGCGGACTGAGAGTATGCTATCCAGTCTTACCAGCTGGCATAGAATTCCACGAAGACATCCTTGTCATCGTCGAATACAACTTCCTCAAATTGCTTGCTGACGAGGTTGAAGACGCTCTCGTCCTGTGTAGCAGGAATCGGCTGACTTTTGAGCTCTGGCTGAAGTTTGCCATCAACATAGTCTGAGAGCATGACGTCCAGGTCAACAGCATTGAGCTCCTTGCTCTGATCGTACGGGTACTTGAGCTGCTTCTGAATGTCTTGGATCACAAAGCTAGGCCATTTCGCCTCCACCAGATTCAGCGCCTTGGCGTGATCACCAAACTTAATAGCATCAATCCAAGCGAAGTTCATGTTGGTCTTCCACTTAGAAGCAACAGGCTTGACCAAGGTAATATACTCCTCCTTCTTCTCATCGCTGGGGTCGAGGAAGAGATACGCAAGGGGTTTCCCACTTTCGGCATAGAGTTGGTAGTTATCCGTACTGACCTCGTCAATGGTAGGAATGGAGAGTGCCTTTATCCAATTCTCCATGTCCGCCACTTTGGCAGATCCAATGGGATATGGGTACTCGGTAGTAGGCTCGTCGAAGGTGCGGTACAAGACAATAGCAGGTGGCGTGACACCAGCAACATCAGCGAGAGCAGAATCGCTCGTGGAGCCGAACAAATAGTCGTCCCTGTGTTTGTTCGCTGTTGCAGTGAACTCTGGACCGGGCGCGTCAGCAGGAGAGATGAGGAATGCAAGCGCGACAATCCTGTCAGCCTTAATAAACTCGTCGTAATTGGCGGAAGTCACTTCCGACACGGCAGGCAGCGATTGTCTAGGAGCGGAAGTCAGTGAACGGTGAACGGTAAATAAACAACACTGGCGTACTTGACCATGTAGCTAACGATACCGTCTGCCTTTCGAGGACCGGTATAATCAGTGTAGTCACCATGCCGGTACACCCGCAGCGTTCTTCAAAGTGAGGCCTCAGTCATAGACCATTTGAGTGAAACCGACCTGACTCACGGGTATCCCTGGATACCGTTGGCCTGGCACAAGTCAGCTTGGTCCACGCAGTCAACCTTAGCAATCTTGATATCCTTCTCTTTGAGCGCAGTTGCAGCCTCCTCATAATGAGGCGCAAGGGCCTTACAGTGACCGCACCTGCGAATTTTGATGTCAACACCATTATACAGATAAAATAAGGCCATGCAGACCATGGCGCAAAGAATTCGACAAGAATAAGGGGCTCAGGCTTGACTACAGCATCGAAAGTGTTGGTTGTGAGGTTGATCACGTCGGAGGGGCTATCAGCGGCGGAGACAACAGAGAATAGGGCAAGAGCGGGTGAAAGGAATCCGAAAAACCACATCGCCGTGTAGGTAGGAAACCAAGGAGAGGACGAGTGCGAATCACAGAACGGGCGCATACAAAAGGTACTTAACTCAATTGAATCAGACTGACGTGTCACTGACAAGCAAGCGCGCGCCTGCCTCACCGCAATCGTCAGCAAGCGCTCAGCGTTCAGCCAGCGGCTGGGTGGGCAGCGGGCATGATACAGCACGCCGAAGGTTGACAACACATAACTCAAACTTCGTTTCTAATCTGAGAAACCACAGGACAGTAATATGAACCAGCCCATCCGGGTCACAACACAGCCAGATCAAACTCGCTGCCTCTCTGTCGTCCCCCACCATACCGTTTCACAGACGGATTGAAAGGCCGCGGCGGAGGGAATCCAGTCACAGGGAAAGTGTGCGAGCCGGCTAGTGGAGGTGGAGAGGGAACTGCAAACAACGCTATGAGCGTCGATATAAATAAGAACAACGCCATAGTTTTACTTACTCCTGCGACGGGTGGAAGTAAGGGTGCTCGTACCATTTACCTGAGGTAAAACGGCCGCCGACAATGACGAAGCAACTCGACTTGTCGATGGCGAAAGTGCCCCGGACGTCGATGAAGTGCGTGATCTTACCGGTGAAGGACCAGGAGGCGGAGGCGGAGGCGGAGGCGGAGGGGCCGATGCCGGGGTGGGAACGTGCCGCACAGGAGGTGGTGCAGGGGTAGGGGCATGCCGCGCAGGAGGGGGACCCGGGGGTGGGGGAGGAGGCGGCGCTGCAGGAGGACCTTCCTCTGATACGCTCCTGGCACGAGATGCGGATAAATGTGACGTTGCGACGCTGATAGGTCTTCTTGTAGGAGGTGGTGGTGGAACAGGGCGCGCGGGAGTAGATGCATCAGTGTGTGGCTTCAAAGTCGATGACCTGGCGGGAGGAGGCGGAGGAGGCGCTCTCCCAGACGTGGCAGGCGGGGCTAGTACCCCTCGGCGAGGAGGGATATGGGGAGCTGCTGAAACAGGACGCACAGGAGGCTCAGGAGCTGATCTAGTAGATGCATTAGACGTTGTTCGAGAAGGTAGTGGAGGTGCAGCAGTGGGTGACTCATTGCGAATAGCGGGAGGGGGTCTACGGGGAGGTGATCGTGCAGCAGTTGGAGGTGTGGGAGCTACCCTCGATGGGAGACTTGGTGCGGGGCGACTCGGGACAGTGGGTGCGCTGAGTGCAGGGGGGGCTGGAGGTCTGGCAGGTGAGGGTCTACCAGGGGGCACGGGTGCTGCCACTGGCGCTGCGCCGTTCCGTTTCGGTATTGAAGGGGGTTTTCCAAGTGTTGGGGGCTTCCCTTCGAAAGCAGGCCAAAGATCTCGTCGGTCCCATATCATCTGAAATCAAAAGATAGACACGTACCTGTGGTTTGGCCAGCAGGCTTCAACTTGGGAATGCCTCCAGCAAATAGCCCACCCAACTGAGGCGGACCAGACATAGAAGACCCCATAGCAGGGGCCGCAACTCCCATTGCTCCACCGCCTCCAGACCGCCCTCCTGCTGCCCCGCCTTTGGGTGCTTCAATGGCAGGTGCACTGCGGTCATTGGTTTCTGCCTTCTTTAGCTTTTTTCCGGCTTGAATCTGTTTGAGGAGCTCTGATGAAGCCATCTCCGGTAATAGCGAGCGGAGGTCGAAGGTGGTCGAACGAGGCAAAAGACACGGGGGTCGTCATCAACGCGAGTACAGTGGCTGCGGAGGCGGCCACACGCGCCTATCTCAATACTGTACACAGCACGTTCTGGTTCAATTCTCTGGGCCGAATGGTCGACATCACCACTTGACGATAGTTACATAAACTACTGGCAGATACAGGGAAATTAAAGGTATCACTATGTAATCTAGAGGGCACAGACGGTGCCATGTGTCTTCGTACATTAATTGATACTATGGTTCTCCTTCCACGAGGCCTCCTTCAGGGATCTCATCCTTGAGGAAGGCATATTGATCCTCAGAGTTAGTTTTCAACCTCCCAGCGACCCGTCGCGACCGGCTATCGTTGGGTGGGTCATAGGGAGTGGAGGGAGTGTGTTAATGGGCAAGGGCGGAGCGCTTTCTCGAGGAGAGAATGTGGCTCGGTGCGACGTCGATGTAGATACGGAAAAGGTCGTCTGTGAATCTCTCGACTTGACGCTCTGCGACTGGACCCGTTTGACCGACTTCCAAGACTGACCGAAAGTTAGTCGTCTGTTTGTTACATGTCCGGATGGCGGTGTCGAAGGGTCATCAGGGTTAGACATCTCGGCGACGGGCCCAAGCTCGCCCTCATCCTGTTCACGAGACGATGGGTGGGATTGACGCGGTTGCAAGGGCAGTTGACGGCCCCGGCTGAAATCTGCGTGCGAGATCATGCTGTCGCGGGTTATGGATTGTCGATCGCGTCCGAGATATGCATAGCCCCCGAAAGTGTTGTAAGATGGGAAGGGACCGGAGGCGGAATCTCGCGGGGATGAATACGCCTGCGATAACCGGGACGTCGATACGGGCGACCAAAGCCTAGAGTCTTTCCGTTTCCTGCTCGGCGTCCGTGGCGTCAGGCGTATAATGTCTGAGCCGATGAGACTGAAAGGTCGGGGTCGCTGAACGCGAGAATTTTCGCCTTCAGTCACCACGAAGACCTGCGGCCGCTCACGAGGAGGTCTGACTACTGGGCCTGTAGGCAAGACATCTACATTCTCGAAGCGCTCCGCGTACTTGACTTGGTGTGGTAGGATGTGTCGCGTCTGACGCTGTTGCTCTGAAAAGGTTCCATCCAAATCAGCAGGAGCACTGAACGGAGCTGTAAGGATGTTTTCCTCTGGAGCAGATTCCTCCGATGAGCTGTTCCCATCATCTGGCCCTATGTGAAAAATCACATCGCCGTACTGTGATAGTCGTGCGTTATATTGTGGGGGAGCGTGAGGATTGGGTGTGTCCAAGAAATGCAAAAGGAACGGCGAAGGCATTAGTATCGTGTTTCGCGGTCCATGGTACGGCTCAATTTTATCACCCTCAGTGACAGCCGTACTGCTACGGTAATTGAACACACCTACGACATCATGAATGATCTCTACAACTTTTACAAAAAACTGAGATAAATACCAATCACAAGCAGAGCACCAAGACTGTATGGAATGTACTGGACCAGTGTGTTGCACCACCGTGTCGCGGGAATGATGATTGCAGCGTCGAATATGAGCAAACAGACAGGCCTTGCAACGTCAATGGTAGTCGGGCTAGAATTATTCCCGTTAAGACGCTTCGAAACAATTCGAATGGCAGTGTACAGCTCGAGTGCCATGAGGATAGCTGATAGGGAGAATGAAATCGAGGAGACGCTATAATACAATGAGTCTGAACATTCGGCGTTTCTGCATAATGAACTTACTATTGTTTATAACAAATGGACACTTCCGTGGACTCCAACACACTAAGATTTAGATTCAATTATCAAGGTTAGTGGTGATTATTCAGATATACTGACCTCGTCTTCCCTGTACCCGTAGCATTCAGAGCAAAAACCAGTCCTATGAGGGGTCAATTGTCGGCGAATCGCATACAACGCTGTGAGACACATACCTAAAACACATAGAAGTCCAAACCAAAGAATGTAAAGCTCTGCGCGCTTCACTCCAAGCCTCCGTAATTTCCAGCTGATCATGAGAAGTCCTGTCATTCGGACGGAGTAGGAGGCCATGCTTCCCCAGGCGATAATGAAAGCTGGACAGACAGTATTAGCTGCAGTGTACATCGAGGAGGCACATACTTACTACAGGCAATCCCTTCTCCATGAGTTCCGAGATTAAGCAGAGAGCACAAATTGGCAAGAGCAGCAGATGCGAAGCATAAATTTAAGATGAACACGAAAGCGCTGTCCTCATTCTCTAGCTGCCTCCCTGATGCCATTCTATCATCCGCGACGTCGACATCTTTCTCCGCAAGGTGCTCAAGATCGGCTACACGTCGTCTTCGACGCCAACGGCTGCAGGCTGTGAATAGTTGATGGAACGCGTCACGGATCAAGGGCGAAAGCACAGTTAAATGTGCACTGCACAAAAATACCCAGCCCAGGAAGAATGCAGCGACCACACGACTACAAATTAGGGTATATATTATCAGCAGCAGCTATAATACCATACATCTGACTACTCACAAATCAGGGTGCTTAGAGATTTCCCCGATCACGCTGGCTTGCGGGTCCTGAACGGAGAGAAGTTGACCTGCCATGCGAACACGCTTAACAATAGTATATATATACCAGGTCCAGCCTGGTCAGCAAATATGAAAGAAACTGGGGAGAGCAGTCCAGCTGCCTTGAGAGGCTGGAGACCTGCGCCAGGCGGTCAGTAGTAGGAAGGGGAAGACCGAATATCTAGCGGCGCAGGAGACTGCACCACGCAGCGACGGTCCACGCTCCGGGACTGACTACTTGTGTTCAAGACAACCGAGTCGGAGGCAGTACGGTATGTCTCAGCCTAGCCTCAGCGTTTCGATCCGGCTCGGCTCGATCAATGATACTCATATCGCGATACTGGCTCAGCTTGATTGATAAATGCTACTGTAGTCATCGTGGGCGAGAGCCTCAGTCATGTTCTGGATTTAATGGAGACCAGAGAAGTTAAAAGGAAGTACTTACTTACAGTAGAGAATAATATGACTTCGTCTTGAATGCGTGCAGAGTTCAAGTTTGGAAGCCGAGCGACAATGGGCCGGCATGTCCCGATATCATGTGATATACGCGTGACCGACCACTCTCAGGGTCTCAGCGCGTGCATCTGCATAAACGACGCGACCTTCCCTCCACTGTGGCACGTTGGAACTCGTTCTCTCACTTTCGTACAGAGTCTACTTTCATGCGATAGGTGCCACAATGGAAGGCACACCGCCGCTCACTACTGCCGCGGATCTTGAGCTGCGTGCTGCAAGGGTAGCTGACCCCGGAATAGGTGTGTTGCTCTGATTTATACTTGTGGTTCCGCTGAATGTGTGGTATCCTAGATTTAAAGACCAAACACAATGTTGCTTGTGAACTTAGGGAGTTGATTGATGTTGTCAGGGAATCTGAGTTGGCCCGTGTCATTCCCCATATGGTTCCCGTTCTGCTGGACATTCTTAGGTCCGGTGAAGCGGCCTACCACAAGGATGGTCTAGAGTACCTGTTCAGGCGCTGTCTCATTGACATCCTCCATCGAATTCCTTCTCAAGAGGCTGTTCGTCCTCACGCTCTTACTCTCTTCCACGGTATGCTCTATCTTCTTCGTCATGATAACGAAGAGAACGGTATGATTTGCTGCAAAATAATCATCGACATTGTTCGTTCGTACAGGTCAATGAACGAGGAGCTTGTCTCGGAACTGACAGCAGTGATTCAAGAAGTCCTTCAGGGTACCGAAGGTCTTGTTCAGGAGACACTTTCCGAGAACTCTGCACCCATGGACCCGAATATTGCGCTCCCTGCGCGACGTAGTTTTAAAGTGCTTATGGAAGTGGCTACAATCATTGTTCCACTTTTGCAGAGTAATCGTGCATTGGCACTTCCAGCTCTGCAGAAAATATTGCCGTTAAACTTCGTGATTCTCTCACTCGAATCTCCCGCTCAGAAGCAAGACAGAGAGAACCACGAAGCAATGGGAAATATTCTAGTTGGCATGTCATCAGCCATCAAAAACCCTTCAGCTTTTTCAGATTTCATCGTGGCTCAGATCAAGATGATATCATATCTTGCGTTCGTCCTTCGTAGCCTTGGCGAGCACCCTGACTCGGATGGCGAGAAGCTTATTCGGAACGTGGTTCGTCTCCTTCAAGATTGCCCGCCCACGGCCGTGGGTGCCAGAAAAGTAAATGCTGTTATTTCTCCGTTGCTATATTGTCTATATCTTGCCCCTTGCATAGGATCTCCTAGTGGTCCTCAGACACGTCGCAAATTTACCGCAAAGACGTGCGTTAGTGCACTATATTGACAAGTTAACCGATGAACGAGTGCTGTTGGGCACAGGGCTGGGATGCAGGGAAGCAATAAGGTTAGTTGAGCGATCGCGTACACCACATCATCAACGCTTATACCCACGTTATTTAGACAGCATGCAATGACGTGTTTTTACGAACTCCTTCAACATATTCGCCATGACATGTCGGCTGCGCAACTTACACGGGTCTGCCATGTGCATCTGCGCTATCTGCACGACCCGCGTCTCGCTCTTCAGCTACAATTGCTGTCTGCTAAAACGGTTTTCAGCTTGTTGGAGGCCATCGTCACCAAGGATACTCAACAAGGTGCCGCACGCACTCTTCGAACTACCCTGGATGCATTCGTGGATAAGCTTGATTCGATGGCGGACATCCAAGCCGATGTCTCAGCCAGAGTGGACAAGATCAAGAACGAGGAGAAGGAAGTGCTCGATTTCTCTCTGATCGAGAAAGCTCGACCCATTGGTGCCGCTACATATGCACTGGAGAAGCCGGACGATATCTTTAACGGTACTGTATGCTGTGTATATAGAGCGGGATTATGTGCGACTAATGGCCATCCTTCTAGATTATCGTCCTGTTGTACCAACGCTTGTGCAGGGCGTGAGGGCTCTCCTTATCGCGTTAAAGAAGTGTGATGCTTCTATTCCCGACGGCACTATCATTTCCCGCCTCTTCGAAAGCGCTGTGCGTTGCATCACTCTATTGAACGGGGACCAACGGATTGCTGTCGAAGCGATGGAGCTGCTCGCTAATACTCTGATCGAGGTCAATTTGCATGTCTTTCAGGAGGTGTGGACGCAGAAGATTGGATTCTTTGTTGAATGCGCCGAGAAGCGTCCGGTTTTGATGAATCTAGCTCACTCACTCTTTACCCGAGAAGTCAGCTCCCCAACTCTTGTCGCCATCGTCCTCCGTTTCCTCGTGAATCGGCTACCTCAACTAGGAGACTATGACGATCAGAATGCGGCTGTTGCAATTCGGATGTTTAAGATGGCGTTCACCGCAGTCGCTGTGCATCCTCAAGTTAACGAGCCTCTCCTTGCTGCCCACTTAGGGAAACTCATCATGGACTGTTTCCCGCTGGCTGCGAAAGCCAAGAAGCCGATCAACTACTTTCATCTTCTGCGACTACTGTTTCGGGCAATCGGTGGCGGAGGCGGGCGGTTTGAACTGTTGTACAAGGAAGTCTTGCCCCTGCTCCCCGAAATGTTAGATTGTCTTAATCGCCAGCTCATTGCTTCCGATGGTCTGATACGGGATATGATCGTCGAGTTATGTCTCACTGTCCCTTTGCGACTAACACATCTCCTACCGTATCTTTCATATCTAATGCAGCCGTTAGTGTTGGCACTACGAGGCAACCCAGAGTTGGTATCGCAAGGCCTTCGCACTCTAGAGCTATGTATCGACAATTTGACCCCGGATTTCCTGGACCCGACGCTGAATACCGTGCTCAGAGATCTGATGGAGGCATTGCATAGTCATCTGAAGCCTATTCCCGCGAACCACCAGCATGCGCATACCACCATACGCATTCTAGGGAAGTTGGGAGGCAGGAACCGGCGTCTCCTCGACAAGGAACCTGCACTCAAATACCGTGATTACTCCGAGTTAGCAAAAACGCGCGTATCATTTGGAGGGGTCATCCAATCCATTGAGCTCGCTCCTACGTCTATTTTAGCGGCAACTATCATATCTACTGGGAAGGGAGGGTCATCGTATCGTACAAACGCGTACGAATATCTTGAGACTTGCTTGAACTTGCTTCTCCATGAGGTCAGATTTTCATATTTCAGAATCTTGTGGTTCTAACTTCACTTGATTCGTAGGGTGTACGAGGACGCGACCGAGAAGAAGTCTTCCTTCGATGTCTAGAAGGATCGTTCGATGCACTCCATTTACCTGAACTGCAGGAGAGGGCCGAAAAGAACATACAGGCTATCTCCCGATCCATCCTGTCCTCTGAAGTCCGTAGGGCTACGTCTAAGGACGTTGTCACCCGCAGACTTCCGAGTAAAGTCTTGATTTGCTACCTGGATGGCTTGGCGTATGGTTTGTCACGCGAAAATCCTACTGAAGCCGCGAAGGTGCTGGAACTCGCTAGGACCTTTCTACAGGAGCTAGTGGGAATGGCGGATGCACTTGACATCACCCCACAAGACATCATTCCTACACTTACCCAGATCGCTTCCAGATTCAATGCCCTCTGTTTGGAAGATTCGTGGGTGCGCAGAACTGCTGGGTGCAACAGCGTCGGGATCATGACGCAAATATCCGGACTAGGGGTCAAATGGGTAGCGGATCGTGAGGTTGATCTTGTTAAAGTGCTACTGGTTTTCCTGAAAGACATGCCCTACGACCTTCCTCGGGACGTGGACAGGGTTGTTGACGTGATCATGCGAATCATTCGTGTGAGTAACCAGGATTTGGCTTCTGTTAGCGACGACGTGCTCTTCGGGCGAAGCAAGATGGTTCATTTGATCGGGACATTGTTTGCAGAGCTTGCCAGTTCGAGTGCCATAGTACGCAGAGCGGCCCAGCAATGTCTTCAACTACTGGCGGACTTAGCAAACAAGACACCTGCAGAGCTTTTGAGACCCTATCGCGAGCGGATGCTGAGCAATCTCTATACGAAGCCACTAAGAGCTCTTCCATTCTCCATTCAGATCGGAATTGTCGAGGCGCTTCGCTACTGCATTAGCCTCAATCCTCCTCTACCAGAACTCAACGAAGAACTGATGCGATTACTTCACGAGACACTCGCTTTAGCCGACGCTGACGATATGGCATTGATTGGTCGCAGCAATCCCCGCCAATCTAGCCTTGAAATCGTCAAACTTCGTGTCGCATGTATCAAATTATTGACAGCTTCCATGCCCCTCACGGATTTCTTCGTGAAACAGCTCCAAACTCGTCAGAAGTGAGCCCTTGTTTTGGTGAACGCTTATACAGTACTTACATCTTTGCTTCAGAGTAACGAGTGTGTACTTTAAGTCCCTTTACTCGCCTAATCAAGAAGTCAAAGATGTTGCTCATGAAGGTCTGCGTATGGTCCTCACACATCAGAATCGACTGCCCAGGGAACTCCTCCAATCTGGCTTGCGCCCAATTTTAATGAACCTGGCGGATCCGAAACGTTTGTCTATACCTGGGCTAGAAGGTCTTGCCAAGTTGTTGGAGCTCCTTACAAACTACTTCAAAGTTGAGATTGGCCATAAATTACTTGACCACTTTCGTGTGGTTGCGGACCCCCAAATGTTGCAAGCATCGTCCAGGCTGCCGTTGTTAGAGAACGAGGGGATCACCAAACTTGTCCGATTGGCCAACATCTTCCATTTACTTCCATCCGCCGCCAATATCTTCCTTGAGAACCTTGTTAATGCAATAGTTCAGACGGAGGCGCAGATGCACTTTTCGGCACAGAGCCCATTTTCTGAACCATTGGCCAAGTATTTGGATCGGTATCCTATCGATGCTGTAGATTTTTTCATGCGACATTTACATTTCCCAAGGCATGTACGGACGCTCAGGAGTATTCTGCAAGCCAAGTTGGCGTCGAACTTGCTTCGCGAGCTTGCTTCCCGGACAATGACAATCGTCACGCAGTGCTTCGAGGGAAGCAATGCAAGTCTGGTTTTGCCTGGTTTACTCATATGCTCGGACTTAGCAAATCTTATTCCCGGGTGGCTTGCAGAGAACCCTCGCGTCGTGGATGCATTGCTTGACTTGTGGACGATCGAGCCCTCTGCGGTAGACTCGTCTAGTCTGCCTCTAGGAGATATCCCGCACAGATATCTTCTCATGGCTTCCATTTTTATGAAGGCCTTGCAGCAGACGCCACGTATTGACTTGCTTTTTACCATTATTGCGATATTCTCCCGAGACTTACCTGTCGACATGGTCCATATTGCACAGTTCTTATATCGTCACGTCGCCTTCAATGATAATCTTCCATTCCGTCGGAATATCCTCCTGCGCTTTTTCATGTGGTTCAGACACACATCCGTGCCCTGGTCCCATAAAACTCATTTCTTGCAGTTCATTTTCACGCCCACAATCCTCATCCATTCCTCGCAATCTGACACCAAGCTTGGTCTTCTGGACGAATACATTGTGAAACAGATTCATTCCTACATTTGGCAGCCCATGATCGACGATGTCGCATTTTCCCAAGCGGACGACATGTTCAAGGTCGAGCTACTTCATATGACTACTGTCATGGTTCATCGATACCCCGAACTCCTGCAGGAAGCCAAGAAGGACATCATTCGCTGCGCCTGGCATTATATCACGAGTGACGATACAATCGTCAAGCAGACGGCATACCTGCTTGCCGCGCGATTCTTCGAGGCCTTCGAGGGTCCACAAAAGTTCCACTTGCGTGTCTGGACGGGACTGCTAAAGCCACCTCATGTGGAAGGTCGGGCAATATACCGTCAAGCACTAGATATAATTGCTCCTGTCCTCCTTCGATCGCAGTCCATGGATTCCGGCTTTCCCCAATGGGCCAAGACAACAAGGAGATTGTTAGCAGAGGAAGGCACCGGATGGCATCAAGTCGCCTTAATATACCAGTTGATTGTACGCCAAGCCTCGCTTTTCTTCCCTGTTCGCGCCCTTTTCGTACCGCACATCGTCAATTATATCCCGAAGCTGGGGTTGTCGAACAACGCCACACACGAGTCGCGTAGCCTGTCGATAGATATTCTACAGGTCATTTTTGATTGGGAGCAAAAAGCAACGAGCCCTCAACTCGGCGACACTACTCTAGAAGTCTCTGCCACCGATGAGACTTCGCCCGGAAGTCCATGGGTAACGCCGCTGCCCTTTCGCGAAAGCATCGTGAGCTACTTGGTGCGCCTTTCTACGCTCCCTCAAGATGCCCAGTCGCGCGGCAGTCAGATTGCATCTCGCGCACTCTCCTTACTACGTTTGATAGTCAGTCCTACGGGGTGGAATGAGGTAACTTTCAAGCTACATTTCTTCTCTCGCACACTCGAGCAGGTATGCTTTCGGTTCAGGTAAAGGAGCTCATCGGCTAACCGTGTTCTAGAATGATTTCAAGGCAGATGCTGCTGCACTCAACCAAGCACAGAGCTCTGCCAAGGTCTTGCAGGTCATTTCTGCAGACAAGAGTGATTTATGGTTCAGTGCCAATTCCGCAATTCTGACGAAGCTGGTGAAAAAAGGCATCATCGGTGACGACCCCACTCTACAAGACGCACTTCTACCTGTTCTCGATCGTCTTGTCCGCCTGTACCCATTACCCAAGGAAGACGAAGACCAACAATCGGAAGCGTCAGATTTTCATGCTTTCATATATTCATCTATCGGCGAAAATCTACGAAATGCGGACGAATTAAGGACCAATGCGACAGGCGTCTTACGCGGGAGTCTGTTAATATTGAAGTCCGTCGTGCAAGTATCGCCAGAACGAATTGACCCGTTCAGTGCACAGTTCATGAAGCTCTTGAGTAGGCTAGCGAAAGACCATATTCAATCATCACCGTCGACCTCTGGATTTGAGGAGAATGTTCGACTCATCACGCTCATGCTGGAGATATCTCAAACTGCCGTCGGATACTTAGGCGAGCAACGGAAATGGCTCCTGAGTGCGCTTATGGCGCTGGTGGAGAAGTCGAAAAGTGGAAGTCTATGCCGATACATGCTCGACATTGCTCGTGATTGGGCGATGAATAAACGTGACCCATACCCTACCATGAAGGAGAAAGCGGGACTGCTCCAGAAGATGGCTAGTTTCGAGATGCGAGGAGAGCGAGGAGAGCCCCTGTTTAACAGTTACTTGGAGCTCATATACGACATCTACACAGATCCTAGCTTGCGTCGAACAGATCTAACAACACGGCTAGAGCAGCCATTCCTCTTGGGATGTCGTGCGACAGATTCGACCATACGTGAACGCTTCATGGACCTCATGGACGTCAGCATACCACGCTCACTCTTCAGTCGGCTCATCTACGTCTTTGGTGTTCAGAGCTGGGAAGCCTTGGCCGACCACAACTGGCTGTTCTTGGCGTTGTATTTACTGCTTGGATCTGTCGACACTGAATGTGCATACATGCCGGACCGCAAGGGCTCTCTGGAAACATCTCTCGTCACTCCTCCTCTCGAATTGGGCCTAATGAGAAGCATGATTCAGCCCATGCAACGTCTTCTGTTCCTTGATTCTCAGATTGCCCACGATGTATGGGTGGCTGTGTTTCCCGCAGCATGGGCATGTCTCTCGAGGCGAGAGCAGATTGAGATAACCCACCATATTATCGCACTGCTCAGTAAGGATTACCATATCAAACAGGCCGAAATGAGACCAAACGTCATACAGACGCTCCTTAGCGGTATACAAGCCTGCTCGCCGCCTATTAGCCTGCCTCCGCATCTCGTCAAATATCTTGCAAAGACATTCGGTGCGTGGTATGTGGCTGCTGAAATTCTAAACACATCCCTTTTGCACGTTCGCGAGGACGAGGCCCTCGTCCGTGATACCATCTACGATTCGCTCGCCGAACTCTATGCCGAACTCGCCGAAGATGATATCTTTTATGGGCTCTGGCGTCGCCGAAGCTTGTACGCTGAGACGAATGTTGGCATTGCGTTCGAGCAGTGTGGCATGTGGGAACAAGCCTCCAGTACTTACGAGATCGCTCAAAGCCGGACACGCGCGGGAAATCTCCCTTTCTCTGAAGCCGAATTTTGTCTCTGGGAAGATCACTGGATGCTGTCGGCGGAGAAATTACAGCAATGGGACCTACTATACGACGTCGCCCGTGGCGAGGGTAACCAAGAGCTGGTGCTTGAAAGCGCTTGGAGAACTAAAGATTGGTCCGAAACCAGTCATCAAGGTGGACTAGAGGAACAGATATCTCAGCTAGCAGAGGTAGCAACTCCACGTCGGCGAATTTTCGAAGCATTTATGGCTCTGCTAAAAAATCAGAATAGCGAATTTACAAGGATTCTCGAAGACGCAATGCAGCTGTCCCTCCGTAAATGGGTTAGCCTGCCTTCGAATCTGACATCCGCTCATATTCCGCTGTTGCAACATTTCCAGCAATTCGTAGAGTTGCAAGAGGCTGTCCAGATATTTGGTTCACTGTCCGCCACTAATGCGCAGAATCTAGAGAAGAGGTCCTCAGACTTAAAGATGGTATTGCAGGCTTGGAGGGAACGCTTGCCAAACATCTGCGATGACATTAGCGTATGGAGCGACTTGGTAGCTTGGCGGCAGAACGTCTTCAATGCTATCAACAAAGCGTACATACCCCTTATTGCCGCTTCTGGCCAGGGGGGCACCGCTAGCAGCAGTTCGCCGACCTTTGGGTATCGAGGGTATCATGAGACGGCTTGGATCATCAACCGTTTCGCGCATGTCGCACGCAAACATGACTTACTCGACGTCTGTTTCAATTCCCTCAACAAAATTTACACTCTCCCCAACATCGAAATCTCGGAGGCGTTCCTGAAGTTGAGAGAACAAGCTCGTTGTCATTATCAGAAACCAGGAGATCTTCAAGCAGGGCTAGAAGTGATCAACAATACTAATTTGATCTACTTCTCCATTTCGCAGAAAGCCGAATTTTATACTCTGAAGGGGATGTTTCACGCTAAATTTGGTCGCAACGATGAAGCCAGCCATGCGTTCGGTCAGGCTGTCCAATTGGATATGTTACAAGCGAAGGCGTGGGCTGCGTGGGGACGCTACAGTGATCAAATGTTCAAAGAGTTCCCCAATGATGTTTCTCATGCTGCCAACGCCGTGAGCTGCTATCTACAGGCTGCTGGGCTATACAAGAATCAGAAATGTCGTCCACTGCTCACTCGCATCTTATGGCTCCTGAGCGTAGATGACGGGAATTTCACAGTTTCTCGCGCTTTTGACACGTACAAGGGCGATGCCGCATTCTGGTATTGGATAGCTTTAATCCCGCAACTATGCTTGTCAATGTCGAATAGAGAAATGAGGCAGGCGCGGTCGATCTTACTCAATTTGGCGAAGCTCTATCCTCAGGTATTGTATGAGATTAGTATTTGGAAGAGCCTCACTGATTGTTTCGTAGGCTCTTTTCTTCAACCTACGAAGTACGCGAGAAGAGATGGCCCTTGCGAAGCGCCAGGCTGCAGCTACCCAGCGCGCCACGAATTCCGGGCAACCCCTTGGATCCGCATCCCAAGGGATTTCTTTGGATATCTTGAAGAAATCAGACTCAGACCATCTGCCACAAGATTCTGTCACAGAAAATAACGCTGATATCAAGCTGGATCCAGTACCAACTGAGAATACTCTGCAAGCTGGCATGGCCGCAGCGCCACGTCCGTTGAATGGCAACGGACAGGCAGCTACACGGCCCTCAGTTCTGGGAACGGATACTAATCCTTCACATCCCGCACGCCAGGCATGGGAAGGTGTCGACGAAGTCGTTCAGATACTAAAAACAGCATTTCCTCTGCTAATTTTGAGCATGGAGTCCATGGTTGAACAAATTGGTTCGAAGTTCAAAGCGTCATCGGAGGAGGAAGTCTATCGACTTGTCTGCGTGCTTCTTCAAGAAGCAGTACAGGTTCGTATCCTTTTTTCTTGGTTTTTGCTGAGCTGACATCATTTCTTGTTCAGCAATTTGCAGCACGAGTAGGATCTGAAGACGATGGCCCGCTGCCACCTCAAACGAGCAGCAACCTCAGTCGACTCGCGCAGAACATGTTAGGTTCCACTCGTGTAAATATCCTATATCAGTTGTGTTCACCCTACTGACCACCGCATAGAAGGAATATGAAGAAGATTTTCTCAAAGAAAAACTCTCGCTCAACGAGTACATCAAGCGTCTCCAGCAATGGAGGGACAAGCATGAACGTTTCCTTGATGCTAGACCGCGTTTTCAGACCCTTGACTTGCTTAGCCATTCCCTCATGGAATTCCAGTATGGCCGATTCGACGACATTGAAGTCCCGGGCCAATACACTGAGGTAACAACTATTTAGAGTTTTTTCTACCTTTGCTCACCACTCTACAGGATAAAGATAGCAACCAGAATTTCGCGAGGATCTCCAAATTTGGTTCGAAGCTAGAGAATTGTCGCTCGCATGGATATTGCTGGAGGCGATTCACTATTCATGGCCATGATCACTCCAAGACTTCCTTCGCGGTTCAGCTACCTTCTGGAAGGCATTGCCGTAGAGAAGAAAGAGTGATGCAACTATTTCGTACTTTTAATCTGTGAGTATGGATGTCTCGCTCTTGCGTGTACTATTGACGATGCTCCAGGACACTCTATCGTAAGAAGGAGAGCCGAAAGCGGAGTCTGCAATTCCACCTCCCCGTTGCGGTCCCATGCGGAACGAATCTGCGAATTCTTCAAAACGACTCGTCTTACGTTTCATTTGGAGATATTTACGACCAGCACTGCGAGAACATCGGTGTGACTCGTGATCACCCCAGTCTCGTCTTACATGAGAAACTGAAAATCGCCCGACGTGAATTTGAGCAGACGATGGGGAGGAAGGTCAGAAGATCTCATAGTGCACTCGTAATGAATTCTCACCTAGTTATAGGTGGAGAGAATGGAAGCCAGCGCCCTCAGAAAGGACATGTTAGACGACGTCATCACCAAGATGGTACCCGAAGATACGATTACTCGCGTGAGCACCGAAGACTATGATTCGATATTTGACTGACATACAAATCATGTATGCAGTACATGATCCGCACCATGAGTAGTCCTTCAGATTTATGGCACACGAGAAAGCAGTTTGCGCTCCAGATTGCTGCAACTAGCTTCATGACGTATGTCTTGTGTATCTCAAGTCGCGTTCCCGGCCGTTTCCACTGGTCTCGAACCACTGGGCAGATAGCCATGAGTGAAGTAATGCCAAGCAAGTGACCCCCCTCCTCCATCTGAATGGCGTTCTGATTCGAGTCTTGTAGCATTCGTGTCTCAGTCGCCTATTTTTGGAACTACGGATACAGTGCCGTTCAGGTTAACACCAAACATGCAACATTTCATGGGCCCAATCCTGATCGAGGGCGTATTAACTTCCGCGATGATGGCACTAGGACGCTGCCTTACTGAGCCAGAGGTGCGGACTTCTCTTCATGTCGTTGTTCAAGTACTTATCCGATGCTAGTTCAACCTCGAGCAACAGTTGTGTTTGTTTGTGCGAGACGAAGTCTTTGCTTGGCAACACAGGCCTCAGAAGGCGTGGAATGTAGAAATTTCAGTCCGTAAAAATGTCGCGGTCACTACAGAGAGCATAGTCAAGCGTGCCGAAACAATAGCATGCCAATTTGAGAGGGAGCAGGTATGTCCTGGCCAGTGATTGTTTACTTTGCACAAACTTACTTATCGTCAATTACAGGCCATCAGCAACCCGCAGAATCTCGGAAGTACCCCCGTGTTGCATACGGTGACGAAACTTATATCCGAGGCCACAAGTCCGATGAACTTGATCAAGATGCCAGAAGCATACTTGCCTTGGTTTTGATCGATCATCCACTCTTTATGGTAGAATACAATGTACTTGTTATAGTCGGTCGATGTAGCATATGTGTACTTTTTGTGTACTTTTTGGGATTATAGATTATATGCGATGGAAACCTTCTGTCTGTCGGAACGTATTTATCTGAATCTCACTCGCAAGCATCATCTTGTCTTTGGTCAGCATTCCTGTCAAGACATCAGAATGCGCATGACTCACCTCCTCCGCCATATTTGAGATTTCCGAGCCGGGTCGGTTATACATGATTGCATTCGCGAACATGAGATAGACGTCTCGCTGGAACTCGAGCGAATTTGAAATGAGGCCATCTTTGATTCTCGCCTTAATGGTCTTGAGGTCCATCGGCCGCTTGACGATGTCATGATAATCTGGTGCCTCAATCTTGCGGATGGGATTGTGAAATATGTTGCCATTCCTATGCTGGGAGATCTGTGAATGCAGCATCCCAATCATATTCTGGAACCGCTTGGAGACGATGGGGTTGTCCGTTGCGGCTGGGCGGCCAGGGCGGCGACCTGTTTTAGGAACTGCACCAGTATTGGGACCTGCGCACATCCTAAGACACGAACAGCAAAGAGAATACAGTGCACTGTACCAGCTTCCTCATCCTCCATAACTACAGAATCTTCGCGAATGCGCTTTTTCTCGCGCTGAGACTCTTGGATTCCTTCGACGTCGGACGCCTTCCGCTTCCCAGCTTGTAGAACATTAGCACAGAAAAGTAAAGTCAACGAAGCACGCCCTGTACCTTCGTTACGCAAAGGCTCTTCGTCAGTCGTTTGCGCTGGGTCAACTTCTGATGGTGGTTCTGGCTCTAATTGGCCTTCCTGCATCGGTGCATCCGCGATAGGCACAAGAGTCTTGTGCTGTTCATCAACATTCTCAGGCGCCAGAGGCTCGTCCACCTCATCTTCTTGCCTCACGAGCAGTTCTTCAGCAACAATGTCAGGTGCACTGGTGGGAGACTGTTGCGGTTCATCGGGAACCTGTTCTAAGTGTTCGTCAACGTCCTCGGCGTCAGCCATCTCCTGATCTTCCTCAGCATGAGGAGAGGAAGCCACTAGTGCGCCAGCGACCTCGGCCGCATCAGAACTATGATCCTCTTGCGACATCTGAGAACGCATGTAAGATACTGTCTGAGAAACTGATCGTCGACGTACGATCGTGTCATGAGACTCGTCTAGACTCAAAATGTTCTCTTGAGTAACAATTTCTTGAGCTTGCAATGCCTCTTCATGATCGGCGAGCGCGTTTTGGTCTTCATATGTAACAGCTCCGTCCGATACCTAAACAGAGGTATACGTGCTGAATGCAAACCAGGATATTGACCTACCATGCGCACTGGGAGTTCTGGCTCTGGTACCTGCTGAACTTCTGATTCAAGCACTGGGTCCTGTTCTCGTTCTCGATCTTGTTCCCGTTCTCGTTCCCGTTCTTGTTGTTGTTCTCGTTCTTGTTCTCGTTCTTGTTCTCGTTCTTGTTCTTGTTCTCGTTCTTGTTCTCGTTCTCGTTCTTGTTCTCGTTCTTGTTCTTGTTCTCGTTCTCGTTCTTGTTCTCGTTCTCGTTCCCGTTCTCGTTCTCGTTCTCGTTCTTGTCCTTGCTCGGACTCTTGCTTTTGCGCCTGCTGTTGCTCTTCTTCGGATCCTCGAGTTTGTACTTGTGCTCGCGCTTGCTCACGCTCGAACTCATACTCTGGCTCAAGCTCTGGCTCTGGCTCTGGCTGTGGATCTGACTCTGGCTGTGGGTCTGACTCTGGCTGTGGGTCTGACTCTGGCTGTGGATCTGACTCTGGCTGTGGATCTGACTCTGGCTGTGGCTCTGGCATTGGCTCTGGGACGAGTGCAGGCTCAGGCTCAGGCTCAGGCTCAGGCTCAGGCTCAGGTTCAGGCTCAGGCACAAGTTCCTGCGCCAGCACCGGCTCATGCATCATCCCATGTACCAGTGCCTGTTCTGCCACTTGCTCTGACGCAATCGCCTGAGCTAGCTCTTGCTGCTGATTCTCTTCAGATTCTGGCTTTCGTTGCGGACTACAAGATCGCTCGCCTCTTGCCTCGTCCGAAAATTGATCTTGTCTGCCAGGCGAGGCGGGCTCAACTTCTTGTCCATCTTCTGCGGGGGAAGATACTTGCGAAGTGGGATCCATACCGAGCTTCAAACGAATTCTATCATCCCATAGCCCAGCACGAATTTCATCAATTTCTTGAACCAGGTTTCTACCTGGGTGTGAGGTACGTGCATGATAAACAGCATCGAACTCACGCACTTGAATTTCTTGTCCTCAGCCGCTATCAGCTCCCTCAACTCTTGAACGCGTCGTCGATAGTGGTACTGCGCCAAATTGAGATGTTCAGGAGCTGCAGGTAAGATGAGCTCCATGGATAAAGGACATGTTGTCAGTGCATACCGCGCGGGACAGCATTTTCCGCAGAACTTCAGCATATATATTTAATATGATGATATCATGCTGGAGACGAACAACTGACCATTCCAGGCCAGCATCACACATGAGCTGAGCATATATAGCAGGGCACGTCTAGATACAGATGATTGATTCAATCTGGAAAGCCACGCAATATACGAAAGGGGCTGACTTGGATGGAAAAGAAATGTTTGGGACGCGAGATCATTGGATGCCTGGAGAGTACACTGGAGACCTCCTGCCATGCCTGCGATCCATATTCGTGCACGGCTTGGGAGAACAAGAGGCGTTCGAGGTTGTTGAGACTGTCAGCATCCACATCGGGCGGGCTGAGAGTGCGTTGCGATAACATGTGGTGCGCTGCGAGGGTTCATGAGAGAAGCACGAACGCTGGTCGCTGCACCAAGTCGACTTTGTTCGTCCAGACCGGCGCAGGAGGCGCATTCGGCAGATGCCGGCCGTACGGCGCCGGCCCCATCCCGCAACCGGTGATGCGCCGGCACTTTCCAAGTCAAGAGGCGAACCGAGCGGGAACGCAGTCGTAGCATCCTCTTGCCTCCCACCACCATGTTGCTCAAGGTTGCACCCCTCCTGCTCCTCCCCTTCGTTGCTGCCGCAAATGGCGTGCATAAGCTGAAGCTTCAGAAGTTGCCCCAGTCCTTGGGCAATCCCACCCTCGAGACGGCCTACCTTGCCGAGAAGTATGGTGGTCAGGCTCAGATGCCTCTCGTGGGTGCTGGGGGCCTCGGACGCAATATGGTACTCGCCCGCCCTGTGCACGAAGACGGAGAGGATTTGCTCTGGACGCAGGAGGAGATTCTCGTTAATGGCGGCCACAATGTGCCCTTGAGCAGTATGTCGTAGTGTCTCGTTGATTGCGAACGCTCTTTTGTTGCCACGCACTCGCTGATTATGCCACTATTCGTAGATTTCATGAACGCTCAGTACTTTGCCGAGATCCAGCTAGGCACTCCTGCGCAGTCGGTGCGTCCATACTCATGCGATAACCCGTCCCTCTATTGACGTCATTGCAGTTCAAAGTCATTCTCGACACCGGGTAGGAAATATCTATCTGAACATATCTATTGGCTAACTGTATTCATAGATCGAGTAATCTCTGGGTCCCTAGTTCCAAGTGCACTTCTATTGCCTGCTTCCTTCACGCGAAATACGATTCCAGCTCCTCGACAACCTATAAGGCCAATGGCAGCGAATTTTCCATCCAATACGGCTCGGGATCCATGGAGGGTTTCGTGTCGCAGGATCTTCTCAAGATTGGAGATCTTAGCATCAAACACCAGGACTTCGCCGAGGCCACCAAGGAACCCGGCCTTGCCTTTGCTTTTGGCAAGTAAGTGCGAGTTCGCATTCTGTTTGGAGCTTTCGTAATCTTGGACCATCATTTTGCTAGATTCGATGGTATCTTGGGTCTCGGCTATGATACAATATCCGTTAACCACATGACCCCCCCATTCTATGAGATGGTTGCCCAAAAGTTGATCGACGAGCCCGTGTTTGCTTTCCGATTGGGTTCATCGGAGGAAGATGGTGGTGAGGCTGTCTTCGGTGGCATCGACAGAACTGCCTACACCGGTTCGATCGACTACGTGCCTGTTCGCCGCAAGGCGTACTGGGAGGTAGAACTTCAGAAAGTTGCTCTCGGTGATGATGAACTTGACCTCGAGCATACTGGCGCTGCTATTGATACTGGTAAGACGAATCGTCCACTTCACTCACCATCATTCTTGACTTTCCTGGTAGGCACATCGTTGATTGCTCTCCCGACCGACATTGCCGAGATGATCAACACTCAAATCGGTGCTCAGAAACAATGGAACGGCCAATACACCGTCGATTGTTCGAAGGTTCCTAGCCTTCCGGAGCTCGTCCTGACATTCAATGGCAAGCCCTATCCATTGAAGGGGACTGACTACGTGCTAGAGGTTCAAGGTACTTGTATGTCTGCATTTACACCCATGGATATCCAGATGCCAGGAGGCGATTCACTCTGGATCATTGGTGAGTAGATAGATTAGTCCGCCGAGCGAGTAGGGACTAAGCTCATTGATTTCTAGGCGATGTTTTCCTTCGTCGTTACTATACGGTCTACGACCTGGGCAGGAATGCTGTTGGTTTCGCAGAGGCCGCTTAAACGTGTTGTTCATATCGCCATACATATCATGATTATGTCCTGCATTTGATTCCATGGATGCGCGTGCTGTGTTTTGCATCAATTGTATGGTATTCTTGTTCTGTGCAAAAGATAAACCTAATCTAGTTCTTGACTTGGGCTTTGCATGGCGCCCGCGCTTATAAGCCGCGCCTTATAGAATCGGCAGGCGTCTGTTCTACGCGTCTCCTAGATCTGTCTCGACAACTGCAAGTGGTGAGCTCAACAACTGACAATTCTGACGGCTTGAACCTACAATCCATGTCGGAAGTCTATCATCGTACTTAAGAGTTGAAAGGCTCATTGTGTACACAACAGCCACGGTGGTTTGTACTTTTTCACTTCACCACTCGTGGTATTATGATTCGGGAGATCGATATTCGAGCATCCACTCCTTCCATATGCATATCACGCAGGTGGAAGGAGCAGCTATTGTTCAGATCCTTACAACAGCCCCTTCACAGAGTCAACGTTCTCGGGGATGATACTAATCGACACACCGGGTACGTGGGTTGATATATGCTTCCTCATCTACTAAGGTCACCTCTTGCAGCTGTGTTAATGCGCTCTCGTGGGCTCAAAATGGTCAATTATTGATAAGTGGCGGGGACGATACGACGTAAGTCCATACGTACGCTGCAGTTACACGGAATTATATCGGCAGGTCAGCGTACGGCTATGGAGGATGAGAAATGGCGATTCGGCGTACGATTACCCATTCGCATGTGATGCTCTCATATACACAGGGCATCGCGCAAATATCTTCAATGCACAAATGCTCCCAAATTCTTCTCGAATGTAAGCATTAGAGCGTTTGTTACATTTCGATACAAAATCATGACGACACACTGACCATGACTCAGAGCAACCGTCGCAGGCGACAAGCAAGTACGAATATCCGATATTGGAGCCTCTACTTTTGTTCCTGCTCATAGCGGCGAAATCGCTTACAGCAGTCGCGAAGCCAATATCCATGTATTGCGTTGTCACAACCGTCGAGTGAAGCGAATAGTGACAGAAGAAAGCCCTGACTTGTTTCTGACGGTGGCAGAGGTATGTATCCACGTTGCGTTAGCACAACGCTCTCATCGTGATCGTCATTCGTACGCTAGGATGGAACTGTGCGCCAACACGACCTGCGTGCACCACACAACTGCCACTCTGGCTCCTGTCCTGCACCTCTCGTTCGGATGAATCATGAGCTCAACACCATTGCTTTGTCGCCTCTCACCCCTTACCAGTTCGTGGTTGCTGGAGAATCTCCGTATGTAAGTCGTGGTCATGCGCAGTGATGTCAAGGCGATGTTTGATTACGTCGGATAGGGTTATTTGTTCGATAGACGACACGCAGGAAAATCTTTCCAAGAACAATGGGGCATGGCGCCGGATCCTGACGGAGTGACTACGTGCGTCAGGAGATTTGGACGTGCCACAGGCGAGCAGGGAGACTACGAACACATCACAGGAGCACGAATGGCAAACAGTAACGGCCACGAGGTCAGACTCATGGCGCTGCAGTTGCGTCACTTTTTGACTCTCTTATAGGTGTTATTGTGTAGGTCGCCCTATCGTTGGATGTCTGCAGTCTGCTCACACTGAGTAGCATACAGCTCCGATGCTGTATATCTTTACTCAACTCTCGACAATTCTCAACCTGCAGCGTTGTCCGGAAAGAGCTCTTCTATCCTCCGGAACAATGATGCTACCGGAAATGACGTTTTCGTGACATCTGACGTCGAAATGCGGATGGAGGAAGACATTGAACGTATCTTGTCCGAAGATACTGACATGACTGAGGATGACGCGCGACACTGGGCTGGTCCGGACGAAGAGGTAGAAAAGGAAGAACAGGAAGAACAGGCGCAATACACAGAGAGTAGGTTTTCGTCGAAAGCCCCCATTGTGCTTCCTCGTTCTCGCTTCGCTGGAGCTTGCAATGTAGAAACAGTAAAGGATGGTGAGTGTTCAATCCCTCATACCTCTTGGTCTAACGCTCACAGTGATTATGCAGTTAACTTTCTAGGCCCTCGTGACGAATTTGTTGTCTCAGGCTCAGACGATGGCAATTTTTTTATATGGGACAAGGTGTCAGGCCGGTTGTGTGATATACTGGAAGGCGATAGCAGTGTTGTAAATGTCGTTGAAGGCCATCCTCATCTGCCTCTGGTGGCAGTCAGTGGAATTGACACGACAGTGAAGGCGCGTCCCTATATTTCTTGTCCTTAGGCCGTGCTGACTGCTCTCTCGTTGCGCAGTTGTTCGCACCTGGACAAGAGAGAAGTTCATTTTCCAGATATCACAATGCGGAGAGTATCATGGAGCAAAATACTAATCCTGCAGCGAGCCATGTCGATCTTGCCAGGGCCTTTCTGCAGTATCAGCTAGCTCGGCGAGTCGTGGGGCCCAGTGGAGACACGCCGCAGTGTAACTTTCAGTAAACAAGCTCTGTATAAATTTTGTATCAAGTAGCACAGCTCTCTATAATGTATACTGCCGTGAAGTTGAGGTAGATCTTGTTTAGATATGTCGCCCTTCGGATTGCTGGATGATGTGGCGGCGGGCAAAAAAAAAAAAACAAAATTTCTCGTTCACGCAGCCGTGCTTTCTACCACGCCCCTCAGTTCGCCCAGTTGGATAACATGTCGTCAACAGCAATGCATGCCTACAATTGCCACAACATTTGGTGGAGCATTTGATTACGGAGGACATGGACTGATGAGCGTATATTGGTGGATTCTTGACGTTCGCGCGGAAAGTTGCGTTCTCCTTTCCTTCCTCACCAGTGGTTGGTTCTTTCCCGGTTCTTCAAGGCTGTGTTTGTCAAACGCAAAGTCAACTTGTTGGTATATTGTCCCGGTATGAACATTAGCATCTACTAGTTCTTATTGTAAGTGCAATATTCTAGCTCTGACCCTGGCTGGTATATCCGATACTGTGCTGATGTTCGTTTGCTCCTCGCGGATTGCATAAAAATCCTGCCAGTGTTGAACTGTCCCTCTACTGAGTGATATTGAATGCCTATAAACATTGCCAACTGAGTCCAGTTGTTGGCTAGTGCCGTGCTTTCGGCCATTTCTGCGTCGACGACTTTAGGGGATCCCTTGACCCTCCATCCAACACCAGTCACGACACGTAACGCGAGCGTCCGACTTCGCTCCTTCCCATCACCTTATCCTCGAACCGCTACCGCATTGAACACGTTGTGTTTGAACAAGGTTGGTCCCAGAGACAGCCTGTTGCTGTGGCCGGCAAAGAGGCGATCTCCTTTCGTCACCCACCACGACCTCTGCTCTTGAACCCATCTCGAGGACTTATTTTCCCTCATCATCCTAAGATAAACAGGCTATCACTTCTTTCACACCCCCTTCGACATGCTACAGGAAAGCTCGTCGTCCCACATTCGTCGTGATACTGATGGCTGGCGGCCTACGGATAGTGCTCAGACATCGCATGACCACTACAAGCACTCAAGTGAAGATGGTCACAGCCGTCGTTCTCGGGAAGTTTTGGACTACTGGGAACCCGCTGCTCGGCCGTATGGCATTGACCACGAGTCTGAGTCGTCAACGTTTGTCGAGGCGTCGTGGCCGCCTGACCGAGTTAAATACGATAGGTGGCGTGGGGATGGTGCCGATGAGGGGAGTCAGGGGGAGAAGCGTCATAAAAGATTCTCTGAGGACAGGCAAGATGGTGGTTGGACGAGGGGGGGTCGTCGGGACGTCCCTGACTCGGGTTGGCGAACTCGGGAATCGCGACATGCTGAGAGCCTCACCCCGGCTTGGGACGAATCAACGTCTCGACAGCGATCTGGTGCTCCCGCTGAAGCCTCAAGAGATGGTGCTGATTCAGGATGGAAGCATCGAGAATCACGACACGGTGAGAGCCTCACTCCAAGCTGGGATGAACCACCCTCTCGACAGTGGTCTGGGACTCATATTGAAGGTTCGCGGCATGGTGGCGAAGATCGTTCTTGGGAGCCTTCTGCTTCATGGCAGCCGAACAGCCGAAGCCAAAGTCAGCGAAACCAAAAATCGAGCAAAAACATCGGCCACAACAGGGGTGGAAAAGGGAAGAAGAACAACAAACAGAAACGAGATTGGCGGGCAGATGATAGTCAGCTGAACAAGTGGGTCGTTTTTGCACACTGTAGATGTGCTCTTTTCATAATCGTTGTTAGCTGGACTCGACGGGACGATCCTAAGTCCTCCAAGAAGATCGTTAAATCGAGCAAGCGTCGCCAACGACGTTCCCTTTCTCGAGGCCGTTCGCGTTCTCCAGCTGAGTCATACTATTCCAGACGTTCCTCTAGAGATGGTTCGCTTTCAGCCGATACTCCCCGGCATAATCGCAGGGACGGAAGTCCCCTCGGGGGTCGTAGTCACAGCCCAACGCCGAAACGCCGAAAAAGGAATGGGTATACACGCGGGAGATACTCCCGCTCTCCCTCGATGTCTCCTCGATCTCCCCGGAGTGACGACAGTCGAGGTCGGGCCCGCAGACGAAGTTTTTCTACCGTTACTAGTAGTAGCAGGAGCAGAAGCTGGAGCCCCAGTAGGAGCCCTACTGACAGACCCCGAACAGTGCATCGTCTGCCCATGGCGACACCTATTAGTGCTATACCTCTAGACAAAATTCGTGAGACGGCATTTCCTAGTGGCAAACGCGATATGTACAGGAGCAGAGCGAGCACAAATGGCAAGCGTTCTGAAGTGAGTTGATTTTGATCTTATGATGTATTATTCATTCAGCCGGTGCATAGCGTCGGTATACATCACCTCAGAAACTGGACAAGCACGACAAACACAGCAATGTATCGGCTACTATGCCACCTCCGTCGAGTGTGCCAGCGGCCTCCGAACAGAACGAGTTACGGCCTAGATCTAGGTCATCATCGCCAGCGGCACCGCATGGTCAACCTCCTTCTCCGGCTTTGCCACGGATTTCTTCCACAAAGAATGCAGGCTTTAAGCCTATTGGTCAACCCAGCTCTGCCGTGAAGAGATTTTTCCCTGGCGACGAGGACGATGAAAGCGAGCCTGTTCTTCGAAGACAACCACCACTAATCACCCCACCGCCGTCGATACCTCGATTCGTTCCATCTGTTCAGGCCCCACAATCAAGTCTACATATCTCGTTTACGCATGATCCAACTCCTTCACAACAGCAACCAGGGGACATTCATTCCGTGAATCGAGCTCACGACTTGCAAAAGAAGGAGCCGGAAATACCCATAGAAGATCAGTCCAAAGCTTTGATTCCCCAAGACGCGGTTGTTGTAGTTGAACAGCGCGTGCCCCTCGCCAATGGTAATGGTCATGTAGGTAGCTCCCGGCCATCACAGGCATTGCAACGGGAGCATGACGTCACGGTGGCGGAATACACGAGGCCTTCTACCCCAGTCAGATATGGCGTATACGATTGCCTCAACCAGGTAGGCGAGGGCACATTTGGACAAGTCTGGAAAGCGCGTAATTCAAGGGATGGGAGGTTTGTGGCATTGAAGAAGATTCGCATGGAAGCCGAGAGAGATGGATTCCCTGTGACAGCTATGCGGGAAATCAAACTGCTGCAGTCTTTGCGCCACGATAACGTTGTTCAGCTCTACGAGATGATGGTATCAAATGGTATGAACCAATCTCATCTCAGTATTTCAAGTGATTTAATCACTCTTTACAGGCTCCGTGTTTATGGTTTTCGAGTACATGGACCACGACTTAACTGGTGTCCTTTCACAGACTCAGTTCACTTTTACGGAAGCACACTTGAAGTCTTTCTGTCGACAAATGTTAGCAGGGCTTGCGTACCTGCATCACAAAGGGGTAATTCACCGAGACATTAAGGGTTCGAACATTCTCATCAACAATCGCGGCGAGCTCAAGCTCGGTGATTTTGGTTTGGCGCGCTTCTACCAGAAACGTCGTCGGAGCGACTACACTAATCGTGTCATAACTCTGTGGTATCGACCTCCAGAGCTTTTGTTAGGCACAACCGTCTACGGACCAGAGGTCGATATGTGGAGCGCAGGGTTTGCTCATATTTTCCTACTTATCTTTCTTCAATTCTGACATACACTCTCAGGTGCATCATGTTGGAACTCTTCACTAAGAAGCCTGTATTCCAAGGAAATGACGAAATACATCAGTTGGATGTCATCTACAAGATACTTGGCACCCCAGTTGTTGAACACTGGCCAGGAATGATGTCTCTACCTTGGTATGAACTTGTTAAGCCCAAGGAAACAATACCAAATCATTTCAGACAGCTATTTGAGAAGTCAGCCGATACTTTTCGGAGCGTTTTTCTGGCATGCTGATTTTCTTTTCAAAGATGGCTCTCCCCCATGGGGCTTGACTTAGCAGAGCGTCTTCTAACATATGACCCTGCGCGGAGGGTAACTGCTGTGCAGGCGCTTGAAGCACCCTACTTCAACCGGGAGCCACCGTCCCCCGCTGCGCCCGTTAGGTATGTACAAGGACATCGTTTCTGCGAACGTTACTCATTGGTGTCGTACAGTTTGTCCACGATGGAAGGCGAATGGCACGAATTTGAAGCGAAGCGGGAACGCGCCAAAAAGCGGCGGAAAGTGGATGCTTGAGGTCGTTGTCTTTGCTATCGTTCTGACATGCTATGTATTCTTGTTACAAGTACTGGTGGACATCAGCTATCATTACCTAACAATACTCTGTGATAATACAAGATCTACGCCTCGGCCGCTGCAAACTTCACAAGCCCCTTTTCCGTCAAGTGCTGGATGATTGACTCAACCTGAGTGGAGCAGAGTATGAAACCAAAGACATCTGTTTTGAATTCAAATCGACTTACGTTCGCTGCGGTCATACGAATCTGCATATCCCACCGCTTTGTGAATTGTGCCCCAGTGTCCTCGGCGGTCTGCTCAACGTCACCCAACCCTCCTGCCTTTCCTTGTGCATCATCCTCTTCCCTAGTAGCTTCGAACCAAATCAACTTCTCCACCTGGTCTATTGAGCCCTTCAGACGGCCCTGTTCGATCATCTTCCTCGCCATCGTCTCCGCAGCGCCTGAGGTCAAATCAAGCAATGCACCCAGCCCGCCGAATGTTATATTGTTATAGATTTTGGAGCTTGCGAGAAGGTTGTGTTCCATAACAGCGCGATCAAGCACGGTGGAAGGGCCTGTGCGCTTACTGGCGCTTGGATCGACGGTGTCAATATCATCTGCAACGGCAGACGCCAAACGGTCGTTCGAAGAAAGCTCTATCTTGGCAAGCTGGTGCGCCTTGAGAGTTTCCTGAAACTCTTTGATTTCTGCAGAACGTAAGATGCGATCGTGGAACATCTTTAGCAATATATTATACGAGGGGAGCTCCGCAGTGCGTTCGTCTCGACAAAGCGATGCGAGTACCCGAGATCGATTGGGTCCTGCTGGTGCGAGGATGGCGCATGTCATAGCTGCAGAACTGTCTTAATATGAGCTGACAGATATTCGACATATTGGTGGAGTGGTCACTCACAGAGCTTGTCTACGTTCATCTTCATCAATGTCAGCAATATAGCTCAGCTCGTGGTATCTACTTGCAGCTTCTAAGAATTTGCGGGAATAATCACTTATACGAGCCTGGCAGAGCTTGAATTGGAGGAGAGCCTCCTTATCAGATGTCGAGGGCGCGAGGAGAGCAGCACGGTTGTAATAAGTTTCTGCTTGCCCAGATTCTTCGTCCTCAAGCAGAAGCCGAACAATGCGCAAGTATATGCGGAATTTTTCTTCGTCTGGACTGGATAGACAATCTGTCAGCACACCAGTAAAGAAACCTCACAAAGCCAATTAGCTAACCGCTGCCCAGAATCTAAAGAGATACCCATTAATACGCGCGCAGCATCGCTCCATCCTTCTTGGGATTCCAGTTGATCAGCAAGCAGGAACCGGAGCGAGTTTGCCTGTACAGGCTTCAGAACTCCGCTTGCCGAGCTAATTGCTAGCTCACCTGCTCCTCGTAGCTCACTATGCGGGGCTGCACGGTATGGATAGTTTCTTGGATGATTTGCTTGCGTAGATCAAAATCTTGGATCCGCCCGGCTTCCAATGCCTTGACTAATTCAGAAAGGACTTGTCTGCCAATGACCAATCCAACGCTTTCATGCATGACATTTTCAATAAGAACATGAATATCTGCAGCAAGAGATGACTGATCGGGACGTGCAAACAGGTCGAGGAGGATAGATTGGTATGCGGAAGCCTTGTCTTTCTGGTTCAGACTGGAGATCTGAGCAAGGCTGTTCTCCATCGTTGTTCTCGTGACTACAGAAGGTGAGCACCAGGGGCTGCAGTGGCCTGGCTGTGGCGGTGGATGAGGCGCGCGGCGGGACGCGTCTGTCGCGCGGTGCACGTGCGTCCGTCTGCTTATCCAAAAAAGGTAGTCAAGATGGATGGGAGCGTTTGCGCTGCCATGGACACGGCAAGCCATCTGCTCTTTCGCTCTCGCCTCCCACGAGCACGTCCCGTCGCTCACAGAGCCACCGCGCTCGCTGTCCAGGAAGGCATAATATTGACACGGTTTCCCTAGGGATTACCAACCTGTGTATGTGGATGGGATTCCGTGATAACATCAGTCATGCTGAAGCATCTGTCACCCTTCTAGCCTTACTTCAACTTGGTTGCGCCAGACAACTCGTCTCCGCACTACTTGCTGCTAGCCAGCAAGCTCCTGTCCCCCCTCCATTCATTTCGTTTCTGGGCTCCAGCTAATTGTCCCACTAATGTCCCACTTCTTATCCAACCCCCTTCAAAAGCCTTACTTGTTTGAGCTACCTCGTCCTCCGCATCCCTTAACACCTCCAGAAACAGACAACGATTTCAACTCGCAGCAACACTCATCAAGTTACGCGCACAATGTACATGCTGCAGACGCAGAGCTTGCATCTCCTTACGCTGCTACAGCGGAGACCCCGGCGCCATTGTACCGAAAGCCTTCACTTGCATATATCAACTCCAGCGGCCGCGAACATCGCGAGAGGATATTCCAACGTACCGCTATCAAATGGCTTGTCGTTGTCATTCCTCCTGTCTCATTCGCGAGGGAACGCGGTCGTCTAGGCCATACACTATCTTCTGGTACCGCAGGCAGGCTCTCACAAGGTATTCTTATGCCTCTATTTCCCACCGTGAGTATCCTCTGTTTGCTTCGAGTGAACCTCATCTAGACGCTTCTTCAGATGGGAGGTCAACTTGGGGCAATAGCGCGCGAGTTCAATTTACCGAGCGTCACTGGTTTGTGTCTCTATCTACACACCATTCACAATGGTGTCTCTTTGTACCCTCGAATCTCGGATGAGTCTTGGCATATACTTTGGGCTCACCTCTTCGAGGCTCGCTCACCTGTGTCTGCGCAACAACAGCTACCCATCGGCGGTCAGATCGAGTTCGACATTGATCTAGCGAAGGCACGCTGGTATGAGGCTTGGGTAGCTTCTCCTCGCAAGGAGGCCGCGGATGTACCCCATTCGGTAGCTCATTCTCAACGTCAGTCATTATCTCATTGGCGCGGCGAGAGCAGGACAACATTCCTGGACGAGGAGATGGATGAACAAGTGGACAATACCTCACAAACACAACACCTGCGGGGGCTCGCAAACGCTCGCAGGACTGGTCCGAAAAAATTATCTTTAGTGGATCGGTTTGAGGTCGCTTCTGTCGTGTCTGGATCTAGGTTATTCCGTGGTCCATCTCCCCCAAGCCCGTCTGAGGAGGCGCAGTTGCGCAGCTTATCGCCTATTGTTCAAGAGGAAGAACCGAAGACGGCTCGGAAGGATATTGATACATTCGTGCACTCATGGCGCGCAAGCGCATCCATAGGTCCAAGCCCGCTGGCTGCTACAGGGCAGACGAGTCTCGATGCTGCAAATATGCCGAATACAATGGGAGACATCGAGACACCCGACGCCCAATCTGAGCTTAACTTAGACGATTACGCATGGTCTATATCTTCTGTCGGCCCTCCGGAATATGATATTGACGACGACGACGCATCGATTGTCTGGCGCCTACCCTCGCCCGATATCGCACAACGTGCTATGTCCGATGTTCCTCCTACACCGTCCACAGCCACTAGCTGGGGTGCCCCGCTGTCTTACCCCCCTTCTCCTCTCGCTGCCTCCGTATATACGCCGTCCATTGGTATTGCCGAAAGACGTGTGTTCAGTCGTCCTGTTACTCCGTCCACGGCGACTTCCTGGGGACCACCTTCGTACCCTGTCTCTCCGGTCGATATTCAGTTCCGCGTGCCCTCCCCCGACGTTGCAGCTCGTGGCTTGCACAGTGCTCCACCCACTCCTTCTACGGCTACTTCTTGGGGTCCTCCATCGTATGCACCATCGCCTGTGCACAGCGAGTTCCGGGTCCCTTCGCCTGATCTTGGCGCGAGGAGTATCCTAAGCGTTCCTTCGTCTCCTTTGCCAGTACGACTACGTCCGTATACGGGTAGTCTCACGGTCGATTTGACATCTCGGCTGGATTCAACACAAAGTTGGTGTCATGTTTGGCCATATCAAACGCAGGAAGTTACTTCGCCTGCATCCAGATTGGCGTTTCCATACTACAATGCCCGTGGTGGGTCGCCGTGGCCTCACGTTTGGCCATACCAAATTCAAGATGCTACATTGCCTATGTCTAGGCTGACATTCCCGTACCAGAATGGTCCGTTGTGCAATTATGTTTGACCACACATTATGTCTAACCCGTCTGAAACGTCAGAAACTGCTGTGCCAGAACTACCGTCGTCTGTACCAGTGTGGAAGCAGGTATGGCCCTACGTGAAGTCTTCCACGAACCTTCCTGAGGCTGCAGATGGGTCGAAATATCCTTACTTCAACCTGTGTACGTTTTCGCCTTGGTCTTTGTCAATGCGAACTACTAACTTTGAATCAGACCCCGCAGTGTATCCTTCCTTTTCCTTGTACCCTCCTCTGTCGAGAGTCGTGGGTGGAGTCGGCGAGATGCCACGTGCCGTTCTGAGAGTGACTTACCCTGTCCTCACAATTTGTACGTCCTCGACGTCATACCTTTTGATATCGTATTCAATTCTGGTCACTAGATCCAGCAGTATATCCCCATTTCGATATTTACCCGGCGTTTCCCGATGAACGAATTGAGCAGAAGCGGACCCAGAGGACGGTATGTCCCGTCGAGGCACCTGTCATTCGAATGGGAGTGCAGTACCCGGCCTTTGAGCTATGTGAGTATTTCTGTTATTGAATCTTGTCGTGTCTGAGGTTTGAATCATGTAGATCCAGCTGTTTATCCTTGGAATTTGCAAAGGATCTACCCGGAGAGTCGCACCGTCTTTGACGAGGCTTTGTCCATTGGAGTCAACTCGGTGGATGTTCGTCTTTCCCTTTCGTATCCTACATTTGATATCTGTGAGCTGTCTCAACATTTATGGTCTTTATAATACTGAGAGCTGGGGAAATAGATCCAGAAGTATATCCACACAACCTGCAAAACATTTATCCTAGAGTAGTAAGGGATATTGCGCCCGCAGCGATTGAAACACGACTTCTGATATCCTACCCAGCGCTTGAGATTTGTGGGTCATCTTGCGCTCTCATTCTCGTTTGCGGTATGCTCAATTTCTGTCTAGATCCAGCAGTGTATCCCCACAATCTTGCACACATTTATCCCAGCTCTGCGACTTTGAATGATTTGATCGAGAAAGATATCACGTATGTTAATGAACGGGTTGTGCCATATCCCAGGTTCAACATATGTGAGTGGTGTGATCCTTCGCTGAGTCAAAATATGACGAGTGGAACGCATTCTTAGATCCCGCCGTCTATCCTCATAACCTTTCTGAGATCTATCCATTGTTGACTGCGGATGAACTTGTTGTCCTCACCAAATCTTCCCCACTCTCTGAGACAGACGTCGTGGTTAGCCTTTATACTGAATACCCAGCAGTTGTGCCGTGTAAGTTCTGAATGCATGACTGCTCCAAATTATAATCACTTACAACGAGTGTAGATCCAGCAATTTATCCTTGGAACCTGGAGAACATCTACCCGCCCTCTCATTTTGTTGATATGTCTACGACTGTGCGCAAAATTAGCTCGATATCTCTTGCGCTCACCGACTATCCGATCTTACGCCCATGTGAGTACTGATCGGCTAGTACTGTTCTGCCTCACTTAATCGCCCTTGCAGACCCTCCAGTGTACCCACACAATCTAGAACATATTTACCCTCCTCCCACACTAGCAAATGTTTCGAGCTCCCAAGGAGCTATATCTACGGCATTGACCGTTTCGTATCCACACTTTGATATTTGTATGTCTCTCTGTCTCCTTTATTGTACTTGCTGTGATATCCTGTTTCAGATCCTGCGATCTACCCTCATAATCTGACATGTATCTACACTTTCGCATCATCCGCCGATACATCGTCCGGGCAAGCATGCAGTTTCCCGATCACCACAGCGAGTATATGCGTGACTTTGACTAATTATTATCCATATGTCTCCCCGTGTAAGTGTGCACTCACCGTTAAGTTGATTTGTGCTGACCCTGATACAGATCCCAACATGTACCCTTTCCTGGAAATCTACCCAAACGTGCCACCCAACATAACCGGAAAGCCTAGAATAAATATTAAAGCAAATTCATATCCCGTTTTTGATATTTGTGTGTAGTGATCCATCCGCGCAACTAGATATGACCTGATGAGCATGCTCCTTAGATCCAGCATTGTATCCATTCCTAACCATTTATCCACGTGTCTGGACGGTCCAGGACTCGACTACCGGCACGACTACTCAGCACCTTTCGCGGAGGAAGCCACGATTCAGCCACTCGCAGCTACATGATATGGTGTTCCCGCTCCCAACTGGCCTATCTCAAGTAACCTCTCCAACGCAGCTATCGCAGTTCGATGTAACATCGACTCCTTCACGCTTACGATCTCGCGCAGGCACTGTGAGCATGCGACCCGTCCCGCCACCCAAACCTGCTAGTGTGTCCTCGCCCAAAATTTTGTCGCCGCTGCCCAGTGATGCCGGATCTTCGATCCCTCGGCTGTCCATATCCCCTTCAGCGACTTCGAGACGACCATTGACCATGATTGGACTCCCCGCTCACCCCGCTGTTAATCGACGGATGTCATCGGCACTTGGGAGATCAGGTCCATCGTCTGCACTCCCGCCTCCGCCAACAGTTATTGAACCCGAAGCTCAAAGTGGAATACCTCAGTCAGTGCGGCGCCTCTCACCTCGCCCCTCACTAGAGAGCATCGAGGAGAGCAGCGGGCAAGCGTATTCCGTAGACCTTGTTTCGCCGGAAGACGCATACGCAAAACAAACTACCTCTGCCACGTTGCCCAAACCACTAGTTTTGGGGACTCCGTCCGATTTGAGCCGAGCCAAAACAATGCCGAGTTCAAGGGGTAGAGATCGTGAGAGAAGGGCAAGTGTGGTTTTACAGAAAGCCAGGGCGTACGATCAATCCAGTGGTGAGTTGTAGCTATCTTCCGTGTTGAGCAAAATTAACCTATGTTTCCAGAAACGGGTGATGCCCCGATGAAGATTACTATGTCCACTCTCGCACAGTTTCCAACGCCTCCGCGCCCTCCCCTGCCACCATTACCGAATAATAGGCCCCCAGTATCCAGATTAGACCGGTCAAAGTATCCGTTCGCTTGATGCAGATTGAGCGCTTCGATTTTGCGTGGTGATTTTATTGGTTGCGGTACATACACATGACTGTTTCGACTTCGATTTGTGTTATTTTACGGAATTGGATGTGAAGATTGCAGAATAGCCGTTCGCATGAGCATCTTACGGTTGTGTTGAAGCGCGAAATTGCATGATTCAAAGTGATAGTTAATCAAGCTTAGATATACAAGTGCGTGACATGAACGACTACTATCTCTTACCATCCGATCGGTGGTACCCGGTCACAACACGTTACGAGTTGTCACGCATGCCGAGCTTGACTGAGTTTGTGCTCCGACCCTGTCCCTACTATCATTGCACCAGCAATGCAACTTTTTCAGTGTCGGGGCTCCCTATAGTGCAAATATTACCAGAATGTTTCGGAGTTTTCTCCAGTTGATGCAGAATGTTCGAAAGTACACACATGAATTTCGTAGGCTCAGTATGTCAAGAATTAAGCAATACGGAGAGCAAAATAAAATCGCAACAGTAGTGCAACTTTTCCCCGAGGCACGTCACGTCAACCGTCACAATGCCGCGCATGCCGTTTTCCTTGTCCGTCCGGCGTTCAGTGGCTGGACTGCGAAGCTATGCGAAGTACGCCACCACTACCATCAGCTGAGTCAAGATTCACGATGCCGATTGTGGCTGAATGTCACAGATTTGAGTCGCTATCGTTCGACACAGGATTCAGGAGGGGTTCGCTGTGCAGATGATTCCGGAGAAATTAGAATAAGAGTGTGTATGTTTTTCGCATGGCGATGGTCTATTATTGTGTCAATCGGACATGGTGATCACCTACCCGAGGCCACTCTTGATTGAGATGTAGTCCTCAAAACACACTTGGGAGGCATTCAAGTCGCTCTCGTATTTTTCATTCATATGAGACCTACACAGTAGTGATAATACTTGTATTTTGTAACATACATGCTTTATTTGTATTTTTAGAGGGGGAGGAGCAGTCGTAAGTTCAGTAGTTGCACTACTGTTGCGATTGCATTACTGGCGCAATGATAGTACTTACAATTCATGAGATCATAACCACTGCAACTCCATAAAGATCAAAGCTCGAAGTTTCTAGTTCAGTTATGACGCGATCCGGCAGAGTGACAGAGGTCTTTGAGGTCTCGTCACGCCAAAATGAGTGTCAAAGATGATCTCAATAACCAATGTTTGGGTTTTCGTCGTTTAACCTCAACTGTAGTTATCACAGTCAAACTACCCTGCACCAAGTTTGGAGTGAAGGGAGTAAGAATTGATTCCCGTACGACTAAAGTGCCGAATGGGGGGGATAGCAGCTAGATGTACAGAAATACATATTAACAGCAAGGGGGGTCCTGGATGTCGTGCATCCTTTCATCAAGGTAATCATGCCATGACTTTACGTCCTCCCGCATCCACATCCTTCAGATCCGAGCCCTTCACTGTCAGCCGCATTCAGATCTCCTAGCATTTTCACCTTTGCACCAAACGGCTTCTTCGTTGGGCCCTTCGGCGTTCCTTCCGCGCGCCACGTTGCACGCTCGTGTTGTGCACGCGCCGCTACAGAATTGCGATCGTCCATGAACCCCTTCCTCGCCTGCCCGAGCGTCACACAGCCGTGGTGTGAGTCAGTGCACGAGAGGATGGAAGATCATGGATATAGACGCAAAATCGGGGCACGGGTTAACTGATATCACCCAGGCCATAAAGGAGAAGGGATGCGGACACACCTTCTCTTTCGCTTCTTCATCTGCAGCTTTTGCCTCCTCTAGAGAACGCATTTCCTTCTCTCTCCTTGGTATTTCGACCTCGAGGATCTCATTGATGATGGTAATGCCCAGTCGTAAATCATCAAAATATCGCTTCTTGAATACAAAGTATGACTGATAATCTTCTGCCTGCATCGGTGGGTATGTATTTGTGAGTACCCACACCTTCGTCTCCATGAGTAGCGCCGGTTTACCTGTCTGTGGAACCCAAGCTATGGACTGGCTCAGAAACCACCGAGTAGAAGAGACGAAGAAACCGACACACTTGAATGATCAAATCTTGTACACCATGAGGATCCATAATCGTGCGTTTGATCGTGTTATTCGTTAGCTTGAACCGTTGATACTTCTCATCGTTGGGATTTCGCACAATATTTT